AACCCCCTGCTGATCCTCCTTGCCAGGTGGAAACGGTGTTCCGGACGTCATTCAAACCTTCTATACTGTCTGTTGTCGCCATGTCAACGAGAGCTGTCAAACAAAATGAAAGAAGCGATCTATAAAACATGCTGAAATATGTATGCATGTATAGTATGGGGCACGTGAACAAATGCTCATCGTTTGTAAAAGTTAGTAATACCACCACTAGTATGACTATTACACCATAAATAGACGGGCAAATAAGTGAATTGTCCTTACTGCATGTGGTTTGGTACTTAACCAGTTCTTTGCCGTCCCGTGGACGCATCAAGCAATGGTGTAAATTTCCGCTTTCATGTACATTTGTATTTGTAGCCGTTTTTGTCGGCCTGTCTTTTTGGCAGTACTGACACCATGTATATTTATCACTGGTCAAACTTTCATGGTATAATATTGATTGAAAGAGTACAACGGAGAGCACTCCGGATCATCTCACTGGGGGGAAGACGTGAGGTGCCTCCTCTGCCAACACTGAAGGAAAGGCGAGAGGTGGCGGCAGTGAAGCTACTTAAGAACATGCTGGACGAGGGTCACCCCCTCCATGACCTGGTTCCACCGGCCAGGACAACGGCCGGCTGGGAAGACCTTAAGAAATGGAACTGCACTTACAGTACCAGCAGCCCGTATAAAAAGACTGAAAAACTCTTTCTTACACAAGGCAATATGCCTGTACAACGAGTCTCTGCAGTAACTCTCAGGACTCTCTGGACTGTACTATAGTGCCCATGTGTGGCTTTGTAATGTGTTTGTTTGTGTGTCTGTATACGTCTTGTAATGTTAATTTTGTATTTGTACTTGCAGCCACCTAAAAAAAAAATAATACTGTACTGCCATCGATACTATTTGATGCTGTCTTGCAGAAAGGCTTGCAGCCACCAACAAAAATCTGCTATGAAATTTAAAGTTCTTCAAACTCTCCCGTCAGTTTATGAACCGTTCCGTGGTATTCACCCTCTTGATAAGTTAGTGCACCGCCTTGTGTTTTTCACACCCCACCTCCATCAGTTAGTGAACCGTCCCTTTGTTTTCACTCTCCTCCTCGCGTCACCACGGAATAGAATCCAGATGTGAGAATTAGGCGGGGCTCAAGTAGGGGTTTACAGTATACTAGGAGAAGGATTAGCATAGTCTTTCCTAGATTAATTATCACAAAGACGAGTATCACTTTAGGATAGTAACATGTTATTCCATATTCCGGATGTGACGTACTGGATCGCGATAATTTTTCGGGCTGATTTTTTATGGGACAAGCATAATCTCGTAACCCCCTACGCATACCGAGACTCACTCTGCTTACGTTACCAACTTCCAGCAAACATTCAAACGTACAACTCAGAAATCTCTCACATCCACAGAAAGACATTTCAGCTGAACTGAAACAAGATTTGAAGCGCTTTGACTGAAAATTATAAACATTCACATTCAGATAATTTGGTCCAAACGCACACGTACACCGCCTCACAAAACCGCTGTTTGCCAACTCTACAAAACTGACAACCAACTTCATGCCGACTTTTCCTACCTGGGAGTTAGTTGATACTCACACAGTTCCGGACTGAGTCACCTTTTGAAACACTGCAAAACGTTTGTGGACTCCACCAAAGAGGGATGTGTTACGCCGAAGTCGTGTCTTTGCGGGACAGGAAGACGCGATGCTGTAACCCGGAAGTACTCCTCTGCAAGCGGTCAAGTCTCGTTACCTGATTACCCAACAAATGTACACTGGCTGAGCAAAGGATCGCGCTCACGGTGACTGAAAAAAGTGTAACAGTGGACTCTGGGTTTATAGTTGCTACCAACTGACCCGGCCGATGGGTCTAGACCTTTTCAGCCGAGTGGTTAGAGCGTCGGCATGTGGACTGGTGCCCGGGTTTGGTCGTGGGTTCGAACCCCGGCCCGGGACCGTGAGGTTTTTTTTTATGTTTCGACTCACTCCTCCTGTTTCTTACAGTGGTTTAAGGGCATAAAAGCACACATTGACAGGGTATTTCGTCCTCTACATTGTCTACTTAGTCATGTCCAGATTCTACAAGGCAAAACTCAATCAACCGTCACTCGGGTTTTGATCTTTTTTTGCCTGCCACTTGCAGCTGACTGTGACGTCATGACAATCAGTAGTAATAGATACCTTACATCTCCAAGGCCACATCGAGTAATTCTTATGGATGACGTCCTCTGGAGACGCTATATATAAAAATAAAAACAAGCAGGGCGTAAAAAAACAAAGATGTTTTGAAAGAGACGACAAATGTGTAACAACATGGCTAACTGTAAGAAATAACGATAACAAAGTATACAAATTGACGAATCGTTTCAAAATGATAAATGTATTGAACAAAGATTTATTCAACATGTACATCTCCTTGAATTTGTGATATCACTTCTTAGGATTAAACGTGTTCTGAAAAGTTAATACAGCTACGCTGCAAAGCTTAAATGAATTGCTGTTTCTTGTCTGTGGTCATACACGGTTAATTTGCTGGGGTAATGCACGGTATACGTAATTTAAAATAAGTCAAACAAAAACTGTAGCTGCGGTGTCTCTTACAAACATGTGAACTAGCAGACTTAGTATACAGAATCTAAGGGCCCAATCTGTTTAGAAACATTATTCTTTCATCATCATCATCATTATTCTTTAACTTAATGTTAAAACTACAAACACTTAACATTACAAGACAGTTATCTTTTTTTTTTAATTTTTGTACTTTGGTACCTTCAAATGGCATTAGACTCAAGACTAGGGTATGTAACAAAGCACTGGCTGATTTTCCCCCAGTTGTATATAACATTGATACACACTCGGTACTCGTGTAATAATAAGTGTGCCTTCACTCAATCTTCTTTACTCATCTATATCGTCTTTACTCTCTTTACACTGCCTTGTGCAGGAAACATACATATTGGAACATGCAGACTTTTGTTTCTGTGGTTGCTATTGTTGAATTAAAAACCAACAGGTCTCCTCCAAAAATGCATACCAAGTTCGGAATTTGAAACACATCACATTATCGTGTGCTTGAAAACATTTTTTTTCAGTTCTACATTTCACTAGGCACAAATCTATAGCATACATGTACGTCAATAAAGCTACACCAATCTACATCATTCTCATCAATCTTAGATTAATATACAAATCAAATTGATCATGTCACCATTGATACCAATTGAAAATAAAATACTAGATGCACAGCTAGAAATTGGATGAAAATTTGCAATAACAACTTTCCATTAGAGGCTGTGACCACTTTGTGATCCAAGATTTGACAGGTACATGTAGTTTAATGGATTTTAAAATAACTGGAATGTTTTAACAATTTAATGTACAGTTGTCTTTCAAATCATGTCTTTCTATACCGTGTATCATAATTCCAATGAAATGTAGGTACATACAGACTTAATTTTGTTCATTAAGCTCTCACGTTCGGAGGAATTGAGGCTAGCTGAAAAAGTTGCATTGTGTTTGGTAAATTACCCCTATGTAGCCTCCAGGAACTTAGCAATGGCCAGAATGTTGATATTGATGACAATTTCTTTCACAATTTGCAGTCTTCTTTTTAAGGCTACAAGATCCCCACCCAAACATTGTGTGTTGTTTAGAAGGCAATCTAGTATTGCTCGACATCCAAATCCAACATTCTAAATCTCTTTCTTAAATTTACATTAATTTTAAATGGTCAACATCGAAACATCCGATAAGTAGTCAATTAACTCCAGTACTACACTTATTAGTCAATGATGTGATGAATTTCACTTAAGGCACTAAATAGAATAAAATGGATGGCAGTCATGGTCTAAGTATTGTACATGTAGACTTTGTTATCTCTTTCAAAGTGACAGGTAAAGGTAAACTGTTTTGTTGTTAAAGGTTTCCCTAAAACAATTTTGCTTCACATCTTTTTAACTTAACAGTTACAATTCTTCCTCGTGTAAGCTGTCTCAGTCATCAAGCCTATAATCATTACACAAGTGTATATCAACAACATATTACAATAAAGTGACATCGATATCAACAACATATTACAATAAAGTGACATCGAGGAAAAGATTACAATTAGATTAACAATGATTATTTCAATCATCTAGTACATACATGTTTGACAATAAAAGTATGCTTCATGTGGTATCACTTCATTTGAAAAAATACAAGGTTTCTTCAAGCATAACAATTATGATAGGGCACTTAGTGTATCAATAGTACACAATTCACAAAATATTTTAGTAAATCTGGGAATGACATGAGGGATATGACTCAACAGTAGTCTGGGTGTGTATTACTTAGATACTATGAGTCAGAGCATGGCTTTGAGCTGTTTAAGTGAGCTAGTGCCCTGGTGACACAGTCAAGCTGGGAGTCAGAGCATGGCTGTGAGCTGTGTGAGTGAGCTGGTGCCCTGGTGGGACAGGTCAGGCTGTAAGCTGTGTGAGTGAGCAGGTGCTCTGGTGGGGCAGGTCAGGCTGTGAGCTGTGTGAGTGAGCAGGTGCCCTGGTGGGACAGGTCAGGCTGTGTGTTGTGTGAGTGAGCTGGTGCCCTGGTGGGACAGGTTAGGCTGTGAGCTGTGTGAGTGAGCAGGTGCTCTGGTGGGGCAGGTCAGGCTGTGAGCTGTGTGAGTGAGCAGGTGCCCTGGTGGGACAGGTCAGGCTGTGTGTTGTGTGAGTGAGCTGGTGCCCTGGTGGGACAGGTCAGGCTGTGAGCTGTGTGAGTGAGCTGATGCTCTGGTGGGACAGGTCAGGCTGTGAGCTGTGTGAGTGAGCTGATGCTCTGGTGGGACAGGTCAGGCTGTGAGCTGTGTGAGTGAGCTGATGCCCTGGTGGGACAGGTCAGGCTGTGAGCTGTGTGAGTGAGCTGGTGCCCTGGTGGGACAGGTCAGGCTGTGTGTTGTGTGAGTGAGCTGGTGCCCTGGTGGGACAGGTCAGGCTGTGTGTTGTGTGAGTGAGCTGGTACTCTGGTGGGGCAGGTCAGGCTGTGTGAGTCAGAGCATGGCTGTGAGCTGTGTGAGCGAGCTGGTGCCCTGGGACATGGTGCTCATGGACAGCCGGGTGAGGTCAGGCTGCATGGACAGCTCACTGCGCTTCCGCTCAAAGTACAGCAGCAGGACCTGGTGGATGAAGATGTACTGTGCCTGGAAAAAGGAAAGGTTGGTACACATGAAATTCCTTCTTAAGAGCATAGAGTTACACTTTCAAAGTGTTTATGTCATTTCAATACAAATTTACTCAGTACATTGTGAAAAATGAATTTGAATGCCCGGTTACTACACCATTGATACCTCATAAACCTCATTCTGTGATACACTGCTAATTAACAATGATGTCAGTTCAGTACACCAGTGAAAAATATAGATTTTACAATGCCTTTGCGGTCTTACCAGCATAACGGAATATGCAATATCTTTACATGCTAGCTTATATATAATATATAGCTATGGGTCACATGCCAGCATGCCTGTCATAATCAATATACAATGCAAAGAAATTAGAAAAAAAGTGTATTATATTCGTATAATGTGTAAGACTTACCAGAGTCTGTACAGAGCCTCCACGGTCTTGACGAATCCTGGTGAAGTACAGGAGAGGGTCCACGATACTCTCATTCTGAATCTAGAACACATAATCTTAACACTTAGCTCTGCATCTGATGAAACAGATATTCTTTTAATTAAAGATATGAATAATGCTATGTAGGATTCTTCAAATGAAAACTACCAAAACAGTTGACCATGTGAACCATAAAAGAAACTACATCTGTGCAACATTAAAGGTACTGAAAGAGATAGTCACAATAAATCCTGAGAGTCACTCACAAGGAGCGCTCAAGACTATTAGTAAGTTCAACCAGATCAGAAGTGTTACAAAACCTTCAATCATATCGAGTCACCTAGACATTTGGTTTCACTGGACACTGTAAGTATATTGAACACCACGCAAGACTACTTTCTGGGAGGGGTAAAAAACATTAACATAAGGGCCCATCACCCTTTACTCAACTGTGGGGGGATCCAACATTGTTTACCAGATATCTGCATGAGACTCAGTGTTGACGTGACACTTCATAGACATGTGACAAGTTTCACTGGGTCAGTCTACTGGGGAAGACCAGAGTGACTGGTCAAAAGCTCTGGGTAAGAAAATTTACCTTTTGCGTTGGAATAAAAGTTTATACTTAAAAAACAAATCTGACAGTACCTGCTCCATTCCCATGTCGATGCCGATGAAGGCTCCAGTTCTGCCAAGTCCAGCACTGCACAAAAAGGAAACAAACTGTTACTTTTCAAGAATATACACTAGCCTTGGAACAACTGGTCGCACATGGCAACATATGCATGTATGTTCATTAGTCCTTACTTTAAAAATCTTCATTTGATTACTAGTTTTCTTACAATCTATGTTCAATGTACTTTGATATTTAACGCCAGAGTCTCTAATTGTACAGTTGCTTTTCGGAGATTTTACCTGTTGTTTTCAAAATCATGAATGTTCTGATGAATGTGGTGTGAAAATTACCTATATGTGTAAATTCGGATTGCTTGCCTTATGCTAAAGATTTGGATTTTGGAATGTTGTTGCATTTTTGGTAAATTTTGGCAAATTTTACATTGAAAGCCACATTTCCTGGGCAAGTATGACATCAATGAAATACTAGCACAACACAGCCTCTGCCATCCCACAGGTTGGATCATCCTCAAGTCTTTGGGCGATCCGACCCGTGGTTGGGTTGTCAGCTCGGGTGATACGGTTTACACAGTGTTATATCATATATCATAACAGCCTTCTTAATGAAATCAAATTAATGAACAAGAGAGGGGCCATACCTGCAGTGTACGATGACAGGTTTGGAGCGGGCGCGGTGACAGTTCATGTCCTCCAGAAGATCCAGGATGTAGTCTGGTTCATCCGGAACACCTGACAGAGAAAACAACTTCAAAACATGCAATTTTCTTTATGAAACCTAGCAAGTAGTAATTTATTTTAATGCTTATTGTATTATTATATTATATTTTAGATGGAAAATGTTAGTAAGACTTTTTTTTTACATACTAGTTAGAAGTGAATGCAAATAGTAGTAAATGTTCAAAACATGCATTTTTTTCTATAAAACCTAGCAAGTAATAATTCAGGCAAATTCGAAATGTAATATTGTTAGATGTTGTATTAATTGGTGTAGAATGTGTAAAATTCATTTTGATGCTTATTGTATTATTATAATGTATTATTAGATGGCAAATGTCTCTCTTCTAACCCTTAACCAATACAAATTCACATGTTCAAGGTTAAGAAATCAACTTGAGCCTTCTGCATGTACTACTACATAATTATATTGACTTTATTAGACTTACCAAAGTCTGGCCAGGAAGTGTACCAGTAGTGCCAGATGTGTCGAACCTCCGAGGCATCCTGTACAAGAGGGACAATTATGATATTGTCACATGGCGTGGAAGGTGTTCAGCACATGGGACAGGCCTAGAAATGTAGTGAAAAGTGTGGAACAGCACCAGGGTGGAAGATGGTGTGGAAGGACAGGGTTGGTCTATTGTTAAGAAGTTATTAAGCACCAAGGACAGACCTAATACATGGTGTAGAAGGTGTTTAGCACCAAGGACAGGTCTGGTACATGGTGTGGAAGGTGTTTAGCACCAAGGACAGGTCTGGTACATGGTGTGGAAGGTGTTCAGCACCAATGACAGGTCTGGTACATGGTGTGGAATGTGTTTAGCACCAAGGACAGGTCTGGTACATGGTGTGGAAGGTGCTCAGCACCAAGGACAGGTCTGGTAGATGGTGTGGAGGGTGTTCAGCACCAAGGACAGGCCTAGACCATGGTGTGGAAGGCGTTCAGCACCATGGACAGGTCTAGACCGTGGTGTGGAAGGTGTTCAGCACCAGGGACAGGTCCGATAAATCGTATGGAGGGTGTTCAGTGCATAGGATAGGCACCATACATTGGGTGGAATGTGTTCAGCACCAAGGATAGGTCTAGTACATGGTTTGGAAGGTGTTTAGCACCAGGGACAGGTCCGATACATTGTATGGAAGGTGTTCAAAACCAGAGACAGGTCTGATACATTGCATGGAAGGTGTTCAGCACCAGGGACAGGTCCAATACATTGTATGGAAGGTATTCAGCGCACAGAATGGAATCAATTCATGGTGTGGAAGAGTTCAGCACCAAGGACAAATCTGGTACACGGTGTGGAAGGTTTCAGTACCTTGGAAAGGTCTTTTACATGGTTTGCAAGGGTTTTAAACACCAGGGACATGTCTGGTAGATGGTGTGGAAGGTTTTCAGCATCAAGGACAGGTCTGGTACATGGCGTGGAAGGTGTTCAGCACCAAGAGCAGGTTTGGTAGATGGTTTGGAAGGTGTTCAGCACAAAGGACAGGTCTGGTACATGGTCTGGAAGGTCTACAGCACCAAGGACATGTATGGTACATGGCGTGGAAGGTGTTTAGCACCAAGGACATGTATGGTAGATGGTGTGGAAGGTGTTTAGCACCAAGGACAGGTCCGGTACATGGTGTGGGAGGTTTTCAGCACCAAGGACAGGTCTGGTACATGGTGTGGAAGGTGTTCAGCACCAAGGACAGGTCTGGTACATGGTGTGGAATGTGTTAAAAACCAATAACAGGCCTAGTATCAATTGGACAGGCCTAGAATCTTTTTTTTAATACGACCGTGTGCATTAGTTTGGGGGGTCTTCAGAGGATGTCATCTATTAAAAATTCAGTATGGCCTAATCCAATCCAAACACCTAAGCCCTATGCACATTTCCGAAAAACTCCCCAATCTACATTCCAACACAGTGCAGCCTTTGAACCTGTCGTCATCCTCTAGCCACAGAAGAACATTCATCCCTGCTACAGTCAAGCTGTGGAACTGTCTCCCACAGGACATTGTCAATACCAGGGACCTTCGGAACTTCAAACGTAAAGTCAACGCCTACCTCAGTGACTCTCGTCAGCGACCTGTATAGCAAACATTATTCGATACAGCTGCTAAGCGGAGGACTTGGTGATAGCATAGAAAAAAAATACTGAGCTAGAATCCTGTCACCTACCTTGTGCTGCAGCTCCATCCTGGTGATGGCATACTTCACGTTCTTCTCCTCACTCAGCACTGTCACGATCAGGTCCCCGTAGTCCTCGTGTTTGGTCTTCCCGCTAGAGTTGGGCCAGTAGCGCGCACACTTCACCTACAGGACAAAACGCACACTTTCAAAACGTTTGATATTTCTTTGTTCGTTGTCACATGTTGTTTATTTATCTTATTGTCTTGTACAGTTAGCAGCGTGTGTCTGAGTCGAGCCATTCTTTTATTTTATTCTTATGTGGCCGTTAGCACATGTTGTTTTAACAGATAGCAACATGGACAATAGAACAGAGTCAACAGACGTCGGCACGGTCCTTGAAGTCAGGTTTTCCGCCGTATTCAAATAAGAAATGCGTGGGCCCGTGCGTTTGGAAAAGACGCCACATGCTTGGAAAAGACGCCACGCCGTGGCTCATTCAAATTCGCTGGATTTTTTCAATGTGTTTACACACGATTTTTGACCGTCAATGTTGACGGTAAGGACTTAAACGTTACTTAAACTTAACTTAAACTTAAACTTAAGGACTTAAACTTAAACTTTACCGTCCGACGGGACAAAATACAGTCAATTGACGGTAAAATGGGCGCTGGTTAAAGCCCTGATTTAAAGGTATCTTAATTTCAGGGCCACAAAACTGGATTTTCAAAGCCTAGTTCCCGGTAATTCCTTATTCTAATGTTACAGTCACTGTATTAAGTTAAATTAATCATATCCCATAACATACTGATATCTGTTAAGAAAAAGATGATGTTACTGACAGAAATTGTTTCTTGTTTTGTATTCTAGGCTAGTTGTGGGTGGTCCTCAAAACATAGACTGAGATACCTCATTTAGCCACAAAATTTGGCTAAATATACACGACTTTTTTTTGTACATAATGTAGAGTGATTTACAGTACATCATAATGACTTACTCTGTCCCTCTCCACCAGCCCTGTTGTCATGACGATGATGTCCACGTTCTGCTCCCACACCATCCTCCAGAAGTCCTGACGGGTCGTACCAAGCGGACCTGCAGACAGGGGTTCACAGGAGCTCAAAGGCCTTCTCAAAATAGAATATATGTTGCCAAGGTTATTGAATGCAAATTTGAAAGTGTAGAGAGATTCATTATCCTTTTTGTCCATTTATTTAAGAAAATATAAACTTTATATCACCTTGTGCTGCAATGTAGGCATTCTGTCGACGGTCATAGCCCTGTGACAAAACACAAATTGTTGAGTCATTTATGATCATTATTAATGACATAACAATTATGAAATGTATGATGTACAAATTATGACAACATTACACAGCAATGACTATCTTCATGCAGCTGCCATTTAAAGGGATCCTAGAGTCCAGGAGGGAGTGCTATTTTCCAATTATTGCACTTAAATGAATACATATTATTAAGTAGCCAACTTTTTGCAGCATTTCACTTGTAGGACTTGTGTGAAAGATAACTGAGGACGATTTCTTTGGAAATTCCCATCAGTCAATTTCCTTGCATTGGAGAATAGTTTATTTCTCATATTATGCAATTTGAACTAAAATAAACTTTCATGCAGTCATAAGGATAAAGACAAGATAACTATACCCTGATGTGGTTGGCATTGATGTACTCAGTGGTGGTGTCAGAATTCAGCTGCAGCAACTTCACAGAGGTGTGTGGGTCTGGAAAACAACAACAAATACAAATCAAATCGGTTTGGCCTTTGGCTGATATGATATTTGTATTATTAAGCTTGATCATGTTGCCAGATCATTCTCAGACTGACAATGTCATGCTCTCGTGATTCTGACAAGGACTTCCCAAACATGTCTTTAACACCTTGATAAACTATAACTTAAGCAAAACAAATGCATAATGTTTACCTTGAAGCTCATATAGTTTTCCCTAACAAACTACTGCTCTATTTAGTCATACTCAAACGCATTCATAATATTATACTTATAAGGTAACCTGAGCTTCTCCAGCTCTGTTCTGCTACTAACAAAAAGTAATCCAAAACCACAGGGTGCCTGCTACAGCACCAGTAACCATAGTGACAGACATGTCATTTAGGTCATTGAGATTATTTTGTTTGGAAAAGAGAGAGCAAGAACAGTCTTCATGTGTGTTCTCCTTCTTCTCATAAAGTGTGCAAACTTCAGGGATTACTTAATCAGATGCTGCAGTTGTGGACATTTTCAAATTCAAATGTCATATTAGAGTATCTGGTGGGAACATTTGACCACACACACACACAATATGAAAACATAAGAAAAAGTTGTGATGAATACATACTTGGCAGGACATTCATGTAGCGGTTTTTCTGTTCAGTGCCACACGGTGTGTGGTGAATCTTGGCTTGGTTCAGAGGAACGCTCTGTTGAACAACAAAAGTCAGGAATGTTTCAACAAAATAAGAGTATTAATTATGTTATAAGTTTATAAGTTTAATTAATCAGGCATAAAACTGTCACCTTATAATAGATTTAGTACTTATCATCAAGCAAAGAGATTGTATCTTAAGAGCGAATGTCTGTAAGGATCAAACAATGGTGGCAGGGGTCAAAAAATCGATTTGGCTCAAACTTTGCACAGTGATAGTACTTGGCCCACAACCCCTCAAAATAGCTTTCTTTCCGGTCAGCACCGATCGTTGCCATGGTAACGGGCCAAACAAGTTTCGGGGCCATTTTCCCTGATTTAGACATGTGAAAAACATGAAATTTGGCATAGTTTAAGGCACGATTACGAGCAAGTGCTTTAATATTATGGAAAAACAAAGTATGGGCCTAAAAGACCAACTAATCCGCTATTCTAGAATAGCTTTGAAATTTTCAAGAAGTTCGTTTAAAGGACCTGGGCAACCCTAACACAATACAGTGTTTGAGGCTTATGAAAAAGCGTTATTTCTACCCAACTTCAAAGTGCTGTAAGTCCAAAGATGGTGATTTTTTTTGCTTCAAATTTGGATCATAGATACATAAACATATGTGCTATAAAATGCATGGTTGCAAACTTTGGGCACTTCTTTGATTGTCACGTGGTTGTCCTTAGAAGTAGGCCAAATTTTGAATTTGAGGAAAAATATGATTTTCAGCCATGTTCAGGATACTATATCTACAAAAGAAAGAAAGCAATCTGATAAAGTCTTTAGCCCAAAGTAACACTATGTTTTGTCTATTAAATGAATACTTGTGGAGGTTGGGTTCTTGTGTCGTTGGTGTGTACTTGTCCCTCAAAGTAGGCCATATTTTGGACATGTACAGAAATTCACATATACGGCTATGTTTGAAGCTCTAGAAATAACAAAGTAGGATGTCATTTGAATTCAATCTTTGCAGGGAAGTACATATATGTATTGTGTATCAAATGAATACTTGTGGAGGTTGGGTTCTTGTGTCGTTGGTGTGTACTTGTCCCTCAAAGTAGGCCATATTTTGGACATGTACAGAAATTGACATATACGGATATGTTTGAAGCTCTAGAAATAACGAGTAAGATGCCATTTTAATTCAATCTTTTAAGAGGAGTACATATATGTATTGTGTATTAAATTTGTGTATCAAATAAGGGCTTGTGGGGGTTGGGGTCTTGTGTCGCTGTTGTATACTTGTCCCCAAAAGTAGGCCATTTTTAAGAGCAAATGTCTGTAATGATCAAACAATAGTGAGCGGGGTCAAAAATCGATTTTGCTCATATTTTGCAGTGATAGTACTTCGCCCAAAACTCCCTGAAATAGCTTTCTTTCCGCTCAAAACCCATTGTTGCCATGGCAACAGCCCATTCAAGTTTTGGGGCCATTTTGACAGATTTTTGCGTCTCTACAACACGGAAATTGGCAAAGATTAGGACGCGGTCACCGCCAACTGCTTTCAAGTAACGACAAATACTTCAGGATATTATTAGACCAATGCATTAACTTGTACGAAATAGGTGTGAAGTTGATGTACAGGCAGATTCCAGTCTTTGGGCAACCTCGAAGTAGGTCATTTTCCGCACTTGTCCCCAAATTTGGATTTTGGGCTGTTTTTAAGCTGATGAAAATACCAAAGTGAATTTATTTTCAGACCCATCCTTCTCCCATGTGTTTATCATTATATCATATAGATAGTATTTGCTATCACATGGGTGATTTTGAGGCTTCCTTTTTTGTTCATGTCGTATATGCCTATTTCTGTAAATGTTTAAAATATGGCCTACTTTTAGTGACAAGTATACAACATCGACACAAGACCCCAACCTCCACAGGCCCTTATTTGATACAAAATACATATATGTACTCCTCTTAAAAGATTGAATTCAAATGACATCCTACTTCTTCATTTCTAGACCTTGAAACATAGCCGTTTTTGCTAATTTCTGTATGTATGTCCAAAGTATGGCCTACTTTAGGGAACAGTACACACCAACGACACAAGACCCCAACCTCCACAAGTATTCATTTGATACACAATACACATATGTACTTCCCTGCAAAGATTGAATTCAAATAGCATCTAACTTTGTCATTTCTAGAGCTTCAAACATAGCCGTATATGTCAATTTCTGTACATGTCCAAAATATGGCCTACTTTTAGGGACAAGTGCACACCAACGACACAAGACCCCAACTTCCACAAATATTCATTTAATACACAATACATGTACTTCCCTGCAAAGATTGAATTCAAATGACATCCTACTTTGTTATTTCTAGAGCTTTAAACATAGCCGTATATGTCAATTTCTGCACATGTGCAAAATATGGCCTACTTTTAGGGACAAGTGAACACCAACGACACAAGAACCCAACCTCCACAAGTATTCATTTGATACACAATACATATTATGTACTTCCCTGCAAAGATTGAATTCAAAAAGCATCTAACTTTGTCATTTCTAGAGCTTCAAACATAGCCGTTTTTGCTAATTTCTGTATGTATGTCCAAAGTATGGCCTACTTTAGGGAACAGTACACACCAACGACACAAGAACCCAACCTCCACAAGTATTCATTTGATACACAATACATATATGTACTTCTCCGCAAAGATTGAATTCAAATGACATCCTACTTTGTTATTTCTAGAGCTTCAAACATAGCCGTATATGTCAATTTCTGTAAATGTCCAAAACATGGCCTACTTTTAGGGACAATGGCACACCAACGACAGAGGAACCCAACCTCCACAAGTATTCATTTGATACACAATACATATATGTACTTCCCTGTAAAGATTGAATTCAAATGACATCCTACTTTGTTATTTCTAGAGCTTCAAACATAGCCGTATATGTCAATTTATGTACATGTCCAAAATATGGCCTACTTTGAGGGACAAGTACACACCAACGACACAAGAACCCAACCTCCACAAGTATTCATTTAATAGACAAAACATAGTGTTACTTTGGGCTAAAGACTTTATCAGATTGCTTTCTTTCTTTTGTAGATATAGTATCCTGAACATGGCTGAAAATCATATTTTTCCTCAAATTCAAAATTTGGCCTACTTCTAAGGACAACCACGTGACAATCAAAGAAGTGCCCAAAGTTTGCAACCATGCATTTTATAGCACATATGTTTATGTATCTATGATCCAAATTTGAAGCAAAAAAAATCACCATCTTTGGACTTACAGCACTTTGAAGTTGGGTAGAAATAACGCTTTTTCATAAGCCTCAAACACTGTATTGTGTTAGGGTTGCCCAGGTCCTTTAAACAAACTTCTTGAAAATTTCAAAGCTATTCTAGAATAGCGGATTAGTTGGTCTTTTAGGCCCATACTTTGTTTTTCCATAATATTAAAGCACTTGCTCGTAATCGTGCCTTAAACTATGCCAAATTTCATGTTTTTCACATGTCTAAACCAGGGAAAATGGCCCCGAAACTTGTTTGGCCCGTTACCATGGCAACGATCGGTGCTGACCGAAAAGAAAGCTATTTTGAGGGGTTGTGGGCCAAGTACTATCACTGTGCAAAGTTTGAGCCAAATCGATTTTTTGACCCCTGCCACCATTGTTTGATCCTTACAGACATTCGCTCTTAAGCTTCAGTTAGGGACGTCCCTTGGATAGGACTTGAAACGGAGGTCCGGTGTTTGGGGAGAGCCACACACCACACATTAAAAAAAAAAGAAGGGGACCTTCCCGGTGTGAGTAGTTCAAAACCTTACAGTCCTATATGGCCACACCTGGGGTGGTATCAAGGTCACCTGAGTTAGCGCCAAATGGCAGCCGCTCCAGACCCTTGCGATTAAGCCCAAATAATTGTATAAGCTCCTCACAATTAATCCCTTGGCTGCAAGGAGAGTAGCTGGCCAACTCAACAACAGTCAGCAACAACAACTAACAACAGCCAACAACAACAACAATGACTCCACCCACCTCAAACTCCTGTTTCAGTACTGCCAGTGCTCCATCATCTGCCTTCTTTATATCGTCAACCAGCCGCTTCAGAGACATGTACCCCATGGGTTTGGACCTAGAGACAAGGACAACATATGCTATTAGCTCAATTTATGGATTCTGCTTTCTTTCTGCTTTCTCAAAGTGAAAAATGATACCCTTAACTGATACGCTTAAAATTTTTAGACCACTTTGTCAGAAAAAAAGTCTTCCCACAAGTCTCACAGAAAATGAAAATATAAATACAGAGAAAATAACTTGCATGCAAGATAAGAGTGCAAGAGTGGGTTTGAACCCTGGTCATGTTCAAGTTTCTGTCCTAGTCCTCTGCTTTTATGGTGTCTGATGGACATATGTTCACAATAAAATGTTGGAGAACCAGGGAAATAAATTGGTTAAGCCTTACATTTAAAGGCATCCAATACAATTTCAGGGGGGCAAAACAAACAAAATATTCTAGGTGGGAAAATCTGTCTGATATTGGCAAGTACAGCCATTTTATAGCAAATTGGATGTATTCATCATTTCATACTTGAAGCGTTTGAAACGGCCCCAAAATATGCCACGTGAGGCATCTCCCTGCCCATAAAAAACTAAAACCAGCCTAAAATACAAGGGACCATTTTCCGTCAGCGACATTCCATTTTTTCCCTCACATACTGTGGGATAGTGTTTATTCCACTAACTATGCCAAAACAATGAGCAGAAATTTGACTTTAAAAATCCAGATTTGCCACCCTGAAATTGCTTTAGATGCCTTTTAAATAAAAAATGAATAAAGTTTTTTCTGACTTGATCATGTTGGGAGGGGGGTGGTACTCCAGTTGGAAGCGGTCCCCTTGGTTGCCCCACCCCTCCACACCGTAGCCATGCTGCAGGAAGGAGAACTGCTGGTGAGCAGACTTGGGCGTCTTCTTCTCCGCAAAGTAGGATCTCCTGGAATACAGGAAGATTGACACATGTTAGAGGCTTTAATACTCTGTACATGTATGATGTACATTGTACGTAATATGTACTTTGATATATTTTAGGGTTTAACCTACTAGTGGTTCAGTCTGGTTTGCTGAAAAGAAGTCTTCTTGCAACCATTGTTAGGCCACACTGATTTAATTCAGTCTAATCTATGGATGACATCTGCACACGCATTAATTTTTGCCTGTTCAGCTCCTCCATGGCTCTAGCCTGGGTGCCATCCTCTGTAGTCCATGGTAGCTAGCAAAAATAGACAGCTGACGGTAACTAGGGAGGATGGCACCCAAGATACAGAAGCTCCACAGAACTGCTGAACTCAGTACAGTACAAACTCATAAATGCCAAAAAGGTTGACATATGCCGGCTTGTCATAAAAGTCGCTATGTACTACTAACTGGAAATTCACAATATCAGCTTTATATTGCTGTTGTATATCAGCATTTCTTTTGGCTAGAATTTTTTCTTTTCTTGCCCAGCCCACACTATAGCTTGGGGTCTTTAGAAGGAATTTGATATGGGGTAGAGGTTGTCATCCATAAAAATCAAGTCAGTGTGGCTTTACGTAGTACACAGTACAATCTCCAGGATTCAAATTATACACACATTTTACATGATATCATAATTAACAATCCTAAGCTAATAGTAGTACACATTGTACAATCTCTTACCATTATCTATTAATAAAATTTCTGTGATGATGAGTGTTGGACTCACCAGACAGTGATGGAGATGAAGATACAGCTGAGAAACACGATAGTCCCCACAACTGTTCCCACCAACACTCCTACATCTATGTCATCATCCTGGGGCTGAGGAAATCATTCATATCAATACATGAATATTTCATGCAAATAAAACTCATATATCCTTATGCCATTGTTTTATAGACATAAGGCAATTCCTGCAGAAATTCCTGCAGAAAAGACTCTTCCTTCAGAATTTACCTCTTTGTGAAAATGCCTATTAAAAAAAACTTGAAACTTACATCATGTATGTGCATACAGTGTATATGATATAAAAATGTACTTTGCTTAATATTCATTGTGTAACTGGGGCTTAAAATACAGTGCATTTTTTCTGCATACCTGCACTACTGCACATAACATTGTAAAATACCTTTACCTGGCAAATTTTACCTGATGGGAGTGTTCTTCTGAATTTATGAAGTGTGGATCATGCTAAAAAGCCAATATAGCAAGTAAAAAATCCACAATACACCTACTTTGACTGGTGCAGCTTAGGTGAAAGTTAGACAAAACTAGAAATATTTGGCATGCACAATTTTACCTGCACTAACCTGCATATGCAGGCCTAGGTGGTAATTTAGGCCCTGATGAAGTGTAAAGTGCATGTAGTGTGCTGTGTATTTGTGGTTGTTTTGTTTGAATTTTGTTTACCACAACTTTCTCATCCGGATCTGTGTCTTGAGTGGAGGTCTGCGGGGTGGTAGTTGGTCTCCAAGGTACACGCACCGTCACCCGATACGGAACTTTCTTCTCAACGATCACTGTCCTGGTTCGGACTGAGAGAAGACATTTCAGTGAGAACTAGAAAGACTAACATTTGTTAAGAAGCATGCAAATACAGCATATTTCAGTCCATTGTCCTCCCCTCCCCATTCAAATACCTCTAAGTTAGAATTGTTCTCAAAACCCCAAAATATCCAAAAATATGGTGACATTTTTCTCAGAAAATAGCAAAAGTCCCATTTGATGCAATTTTAGGTGGCATATGCCAAAAATGTGAAAAATATTCTGTAGGCATGAGTCCAAAGTATCCCTATGCCAAATTTCATTCACGGTCATTCAGATTTAATACCAGGAGGGCTCCAGATCCCAAAATGGATATTTTTGCCCGAAAATGCCCAAAAAGAAATAAAAACCATATTAAAAGCCTGTATCTAAAAAAATTAAAACTAGATATTCATATTCACTTGAGTGAACTGAGGAGAGTCAAATAAAGTGCCTTTCCCAAGGGCAAAACATTTGTCAATGAGCATGTCTGGGGATTGAACCCAGGACCTTTTGGTTCCGAGTAAAACTCTAGTACACAATGCCACATGTGCTAAACAATGCCACATGATGATGTACATTTGATGTGTTGTGTAAGAAACAAGCTGTGACCTACCTGGTCTGGGTGTGGTGGGCTCTGGTGGTGGGAGGTATTTCAGGTCATGCATGTACGTGTCATCCTTGAGCTTCAACTTTACAGTAAGCTGCAAGAGATAAACAGAGGAAATGCAATTAAGATTTATTTGACATTATCACAAACAATGGAAATTCTATTCGTACATTAAAACAGTATTAGGCTGAAGAGCTAAAACATTAACCCAAATTTATAGGAGGACTACATATATTCGAGTATTTACAGTCTGTTGTTATATTGTAACTGAAATATGCCAGAAATAAATTAGACCAGTATTAGTTTAAGAACTACATTCTGTTGATAATGCTATATACAGAATCAAATAAATTAAGAATAATACTAACTTGCCTATTGTTTTTGTTGAAAAATTATTTAATAATAGTATTTATTTCTGTTTTATTTAAAGAGGGTAGAGACCTCGGTGCTATTTAAAAACACTGCTTTTCAGGAATGCCCTGTGACAACAAGTTACACATGAAAACAATGAAACCAACACATTTAACAATACATAAAGTTACAAAACAACCAAGCGTCAAAACAAAATCGTTAACCATAAATCAATGTCGTTAAGCCAGGCCAAGGTCAGGAGGTCAGAGGTCAGCAGTGTTGTTTCAGAACCTTCTTAAACGACAGGTAAGACTTGGCCACTCTAACTGTGGCAGGTAGGCCGTTCTAGGGAAATGCTGCCACAGTCGGACTTTGGGAAGTTTTAAAGATAAGTTTGAGTTGTGCCTAGTTTGGCAGATATGAGATGTTCTCCGGAACATTTGTAGGTATTCCAGTGCTTGTTGGTGTATTGATTTGAAGATGGTTTGAAGGAGGTGCATTTTTTAAATTTCAAACATGTAATCACAAGACGTGGTGACGGCATACTCAAGTTTTTTCAACTTATATTAATGCCGCCACCAACACAAGGAAGAAATACATGACAGGGCAATACTCATTTTCACCTGAGCTAAGTGAGGAAAGTGGTGTAAAGTGCCTTTCCCAAGGGCACAAGATCGATGGCATCGAGGTGCATTTGCCGACGACTTGCCAGGGAATTCCAACCTAACGCAGACAGCTGACAGTGTACATTATCTGTGACGTACCTTTTGGTGTTTCAGGTGGTTGGCCAGATTCTCGTCCAGGTCAAAGGTCACCAGGCCTTTGTAGACTCGTAGGTACAGAATCTTGTTGGTTGGTATGCCCAGTTGATCTGCCAGCTAAATATGGGAGATGGGGAGGGGGGGGAGGGGATTTTAGTGATACTTTTGACGAATATTTTAAACTATACACACAACAGAAAGTTAGCTACTCTAGGGAGCTTTAGAGACGCACTCTGTCTTGGAAAAGATCTCGTCTTGTAGTTCCCTTGTTAGGTGACTTAATTTTGATTACTAGGTGACAAGAGGCTGCCATATTCGGGCTTGAGGTAGTGATGCCCGCTGTCAATGTTCAGGGTACTGCATTGTCTGTGCATCTGGATCATCTCCCAAACACCTCTTTAATGACATCCGTAAATAATTTCATTAGGTTGATGAACGACTGAATAGCAAAGTTCTTTCTATCACAACCATTTATTTTTCAAGCCAACGTTTCGATGACCTTCTGTCATCTTCATCAGGGCAATACTGGTCAAAATGGTTGTGATAGAAAGAACTTTGCTATTCAACCTCTTTAATGAATTTCAAGTGATCTTTATCAAGTTTTAGCTTACTATAGAGCTACATGTTTATATAATCTCCCACTGGTTGTGACAGGGAAGTATTTGGTTCATTGTACCTGGGAAATTCCCCTATGCTCGCTCTTCTTGACAAGTACAATGAACATTGGACTACGGCTTAACATCCCATCCTATAGGGACTGTGACACTTCCAACTTCTTAGTCCAGAGGCAGGATTGGTAAGCACTGGACTACTACATGGGCGCTACATGTTATTCAGCACCAAGGACAGCATTATTTAGCAAAAGCCAATCTGCACATTGTGAATATCAGTTTTAATACAATTTTGCCATCACTATGGATTGTCGTATAATTTTTGATGGCACTGTGTTTTCAAGCAGGCTTTGTAAAAACTATCTATCAGGTGGCATTTTCCGTAACATGACTGGTGTCACATGATGTGGCCTGAACTGTGATTGGTGCATTTGGACCTGTGGTGACAGTTGGCTCATTTAGAAAATAGAGCCAGTCAGGGTAACATGCCTGCTTACTAGTATCTCAGTGTAGAATGTGTCTATCAAAGACTTGTGGTTGTTTTTATATCCAAATCATCACAAGTCAGAATGCACCAATCACAGTTCAGGCCACATCATGTGACACCAGTCTTGTTATGGAAAATGCTACCTGACAGAAAAACAGATGCTGGCTAGAACACTGATAAAGACAACTGGGTTTATTAGGGCACATGGTTTATTTTTAAATTAATGGAATGTCTGCCACTGTACTATGAATGCAAGCCCTTACCTGTTCCCTCAGACTGGAATAGAACTCTCCCTGGTACTCGTTTGCCAAGTCTGTCATCTCTACCTTGGCTTCAAACTAAAAAAAAATTAATCAGAACAACAAGGTTGACACAAGGGTTAATTTGCAACAAAAGATAGTTAAATGATCACAGTATGATAGAACAATATGAGCAGAGATGCCCCCCCAACCATGCTGGTATTGCTACCCTCTTAGTCCATGACAAATATTAATGGGCAGGCAGTACACTAGTAGACTGTATGGCAGCAATGAAGCTATCATGATTATACATTTGTAAAAGAACCCATTAAAGAATATCTAATTAGAAGCACTACTGTGTACTACTATGCATTTCTTGTATGGTAATATTGTTACTTACACTTAGCTGCTTAGGATCTGAGGCTTCATTGCCTGTATGTAGTGAGAAAAAGAAAGAAAAAAATGTCATGTAATATAAAAAAATCACATAATACCATAATATGAACGACCTCCATAATGCTAAATATTTTGGTACCAAAGATTTGTAGGAAGGTTCTTGAATGTATCCTTGTCTTCCTAGTTGCAATTGTTTCAATTAAAAAAGAATGACTGACCCAAGTGCAAAATGTATCTTTATTTTACATTTTTGCCCAACAAGGCTAGGCCACATGGGCACAATGTAATTCAATGTACGGTGCAATGTATATATAATACTTAGTTACTGTACATGACTTTGTCTAGTATACACATTCAAGTACTTTCTCTTGCTTCTTCGTAGCAATTAAATGCAGGTGGCTGTGTGTATGAGAATTGGTTTATCAAAGGCTGTAAGGAATATAAATTTTTCTATAATTAAATTTACTAATTTCATATGACAAATAATAAAATAATCTAAAATAATGATTCATTCCCTATCATACAAATGACAAAAAAAAATGTACACTGTATTTTATTTATCTTAAACACAAAATTGGATGATTCAGTTACATGTAGATAAAGTGAAACAAACCTCTACGTTTCACCACGGCAGTGTATGACTTGGACGTTCCATATCTGTTGGACACCTCACAGCGGTACCGACCAACAGCATCTGATCCTGTCTGCAGCAGTATTCTGTAAAAAGGATGCAGGTTTACAGTAGGGAAATTCACAGTAGAGGAATTAAAAAGGCTAGGAACAAAAGTCTTAAACTGTGCTTGACATAGTACAATAATATGTCTTGCACTACTTATGGCAGACATCTGTACACGTGCACAAATTGATTTTTGCCTGTTCTTATCAAAAGAAAAAAAAACTCTGACAAGGCTCTGGCCTGCAAGATGTGCTCCATGGTATAGTTAGTGACGGTATAGGGAGTCAGTGGTACATGTAACTACATTTGTACACTGTCATCATATACAGAGTCCAAAAGTTGAAAGACAGTGCCAACTCATAAAACATGCTGAAGGCCAGCATGTGCCGGCTTGTCGAAAAATATCCCTGTGTACTTACCATAAATTCACAATTATACCAGCTTTGTATTTCTGTGGTTTAGTACAATTAGCAGCATTTTTTGGCTAGACTTTCATTTATTTGCCCGCATGCATAAGTTGGGAGTCTTCAGAGGATGTCATTCCTAAAATTAAGTCAGTGTACATGTGGCCTTATGGAAGGCACAAAGGTAAAAGAATTTTGGTGTGAGTTTACTTTTTATTCAGCTCAGGCTGGCACAGTGTTGAACACTGAAACCAGGTCACGGCATGACTCGACAAGAATTTGGAGATCTCAAACCTCCATGAAATATATGAGTTTTTGTAAATGTTTTTACACTGTACACTACACTACAGTACAGAACAAAATAACACAGGTTTTCTTGGCCTGAAATAGGTCAGGCTGTCAACTCAGTACATGCATGTAGCCTATTCCAGAGGAACCTCATCAATAAAACTGGGTAGGCTCGCTGCCTGACCACACATGTTTTCCATTAGAGGAAGTCCTTGACTTTGGTGTTTTGTTGCATAACTGGCACATCTGTTTTCCCTCAAAATACAAAGGTTCTGCTGCAGTACCAAGGTCACCCACCAGGAGGCCCATATTTGACCTTGACCTTTGGCTTCATAAGACCTACTAGCATACCAAATGTCAATACAATCCATAAAGGCGTTCTGAAGTTATGCTGACTACAAATGTGCGGAAACACACACACACAAACTCACACAGACTCACCAAAAACAATACCTCCATTTTTCATGGAGGTAAAAATGGCTAATACACTTGTCATGAATCATGAAAGACTGTCTGCCAACCTTGTTCCCTTGCCAATCTCCTCGCCATTTTTCTTCCATGTGTAGCGGAGTGGACCCTCTCCTGTTGCATAACACCTATAGCAAAGAAAGAACATATTTATTTTTACTTTTAAATGCATGTACATAAGTCTCAGCATCCTAAGAATACACATGCCTCTTTAATGTCTCAAGCCGAACAGTGCTAGATGTCATTTTATTGATACAAGCCTGGCGGATATCTTCAGTCTCAATAATTTATAATAACTAATCTGCAAAATTTACAGGCATTACAGAATTTTATTAATATTGTTTTGCGGGGCTTTCAAGACATGTGCATTTTAGTAGTTTAAGTCATTACACTGCAAAGTACATGATTGTGTTTCATAAATTAGAATAATTATTATTGCTTCAACATGAACTCTAAGTCTTCTTATCTTTCCTGCACATTAATTGCTGCAAATTTAATCAAATATCCTCGCAACATAATGAGAAAATGTTTGTCATTCTTCGATATTAATTTTGGTCTTTCTTTAAATAACACTGCAGGGAGTTCAATGTATGTTTTGCCCAGTTTTAATTGAGAAGAAGTTTATTGCAAATCCATGCCAAAAGTCTTGCTAAGTTACTGTAAAAAGAACATTGAAACATGGTCTAAAATAACTTCAAACTGTACATAATAAAATCTAATTGTCTAAAACTATTGCTGTGTCTAAAACTATTATGTCTGATAATAATATATACAATGATGGCAGCAACAAAATGCTTACCCCAGCAGAATCTTCTTCTTGCCAGTGAAGACCACACTCTGAGGATGTTCCACTAGTATGGGAGGACCTGCAGAACACACAAGATGGTTTCAGCTAAACCAAGAGCAATGGCCAAGAAATTATATACTGAGACCCAGAGAAATCCATTCCAGCCACCCGTAAGTTACAGCTGTGAACTCAGAAACATCAACCGTTATTAAATATAGACTGAAGGCTTCTGCGGAAGGATGTCTTCTTCTCCAGAGGTAAAGATAATATTATAGTACACAAATACATGGAGCAGTGGAGGTTAGCTTCACACACACACACGCACACGCACACACAGGCACACACACACACAGGCACACACACACACACACACACACACACACACAGGCACACACACACACACTCACACACAGGCACGCACACACACAGGCACATACACACACACACACAGGCACACACACACAGCACATACACACACACACAGGCACACACACACACAGGCACACACACACACACATTCTATACACACACACACGCGCACACACACATACACACGGGCGTGCACACATGCAGCATTTATAGGTTTATTGTACTGGGGAACTACTGGCTTGACATCCCATCCTATAGGGACTGTGACACTTTAACGTGCATGTCAGGTGAGCGACAACAGCCAGGATTTGAAGTTTCAACTTCTTAGTCCAGAGTCTGGGTCGGTAAACACTGGACTACACACACTACATGCATGTTACATGTTATTCAGCACCAAGGACAGCATCATATAGCAAAAGCCAATCTGCACATTGTGAATATTACTTTTCATACAATTTAGCCATCACTATGGATTGTTGTGCGCGCACACACACACAGACAAACACACACACACAGTAATTATTAACTTACAAAATCCAATTTTTCCAGCCTACAAAATTTTAATATATTCCGAATTGAATTGAAGTATTGTTAAAAAAGTATCAATATACATGTTGCCGAGCTACTGCAGCAGCAGCAGAATACAGTGGACTACTGCTACTATACATGTAACATTTAGAATACACATAAAGTCATGAAGGCAAAATGTAACCCACCGTGCACAGTAAGACCAGCTACTGCAAAGTCTTCTCCTGCACTCTGGCCCCATGCCTTACACACATACACCCCCTGGTCATGCCAGGTCACTCCTGTGATGGTCAGCTTTCCGCCGTCGGTCAGATTGCGGACGGTGTGCCGGTCAAGGTCGAATGGGATGGGCATCCCGGGTCGGTAGGTCCAGGAGATGGTGGGTTTGGGCTGTCCGTGTGCCTTGCAGCTGAACTCAGCTGTACCTCCCACGGGCACGCTCTTGTTCACAGGGCCTTCATGGATCCGCGGAGGAACTGATGATAGAGCAAGATGAGCAGCTTATAGTGAACGTAGTGATACATTGTAGCTGTAGGAGTCAGCAATTCACTGTAAATCACTTATATTTGCGTTAGGGACATGTTTGTGGTACTGTAGTAACTGTTATGTTTGCAATGGCTGATGGAGGAAGGTAGAGATAAAAAAACTAAGGAAGTTGGTGAATTAATTGTTCGCGGCAACGATAAATTTGTGGCCGCAAGAACCACAGATATATAAGTATGGTGGTGGATAACGTTTTTTGGGTATTTTTTTTATTATACTTACACACAAAAAAACAAAAAATACACAGGGGAAACCAGAAAACTCCAAGTATTATTACAATTAATTGTCATATATTTTCCTAAATCGATTATTGATATGGACATAAAAATTACTGATTATTTTAAAGCACATTACATATTTAAGAATATTGCACATTACAAATTATTGTTAAAAATAAAAGGAATTATTTGCAGGAATAAATAAAGTTTAAGGAAGAAAAAGAATAATATCTGTATTGAGTGGAATATCAGAAACAATAACTGTAACATGTAGCTATAATATCTTACCAAGTATTTCAACACGGATCTTCGCAACTTTGAATCCAGCGTCACTAGAGGCATTGCAGACGTAAGTCCCCTTGTCATCCTCAGTCACACGGAGGAAGATCAGTTTTCCTAAAAAGGTACAACAAGATTTTCACCACATAGTCAACAAGATAAGCAATTCTTTGAAGACTCTCTCTGCCTTTCCCTCTCTTTCTTCATGTCAGTCAGTCTTAGCCCTTGTCCTGCTGGCACAATATTTTTCTATAATTTTATGTCTTAGTTAGATCATAGATCCCCAATTTTTTTGCCTTGCAGTGGCATAGTTACTTCTGCATTTGTTGCGTTTTGATGCGGTGTGATGTGTTTCAGAGAAATACCCCCAAATCGTACCTATATGGGGTGCTATATAGATGGTACTGTATGTGCAAAACAACAATTGTTGTACTTCGCAGGACAAGAGTTTAGTATGTGTCACAATACCAGAAAGTCTGAGCGTTATTTGCCAAACATGGCAGCAGCACAAAGGACAGCACATTGAATGCTTTTCAGAACCAAGGACAGCAGTATGAATGTCATTCAGCAGTTTAAAGGATTCTTGCAGATTGTCATTTAACACCAGAGACAGCAGCTTGAGTCTTATTTAACTCTAGGGCAGCACTGCAAATGTTGCACTGGACTAAAGACAGCCCTGTCAATGCTATTCAGCACAAGCTACAGCACAGTATTGGTATTGTGCAACAATGACAGCATTGAAAATGTTATCAGTCACCAAGGAAAGGTGTGTGAATGTTATAAGCACTATGGACAGCAATGTAATTCAGCACCAAGGACAGTAATCTGAATATTTTAGCACCAAAGACAGCAGTGTGAATCAGCACAAAGGACAGCAGTACGAATGTTGTACCACCAAGGACACAATGTGAATGTCATTCAGTACCAAGGACAGTAATGTGAATATTTTAGCACCAAAGACAGCAGTGTGAATCAGCACAAAGGACAGCAGTACGAATGTTGTAGCACCAAGGACAGCAATGTGAATGTCATTCAGTACCAAGGACAGTAATGTGAATATTTCAGCACCAAAGACAGCTGTGTGAATCAGCACCAAGAACAGCAGTGTGAATGTCTTAGCACAAGGTCAGCAGTTCGAATGTTTTAGCACCAAGGACAGCAGTTTGAATGCTTTAGCACCAAGGACAGCAGTTTATATGTTTTAGTACCAAAGACAGCAGTGTGAATGTTTCAGCACCAAGGACAGCAGTTTGAAGTTTTCAGCTCAAAGGACAGCACCGTAAATGTTAATCAGAAAGTAACAGTAGTGTGAAGAATATCATCCTGCAACAAGGATAGCTATGTGGATGATAATGAATATCATGATTTTTGTTTATTGATAATTGTTCTACAAAAATAAAAACATTTGTTAAGACTAACTTGGGGCAAAAAGCCTAGTACATGTATGCCTTACCTGTGTCAGTGACCAGTTGATGACGAGATAGTCCAAAGACTTCTCCATGCTTTTCCCTGTACCACTTGATGGTAGGTGATGGAGAGCCAACAGCCCGACACTCCACTGTCACATTCTTCTCATACTCAAAGATCTTCTTGGTTCCGGAAGGCACTGGCTCAACAAACCTTGGTTTCACTGTGGTAACAATAATATATGTGACATTATGTAACTTCAATGAAACTAGAGAGGTAACATTTGCAAGGCAAATGCATAATGTTTACCTCGGCATATGGTCTGCTCTATTATTTTCTTACTCAAACACATTCATATATATGGCCAGACAGGAGTCTAAATCCCTCCTGCTATAAAATTGCAACATGATGTAACCCAACACTAGTTACCATGGCAACAGACCCAACATTGATTCAGGTCAGTGGTCACTGTTTGGAGAAGAAGAAGAAGAGGAAGAAACTGAGCAAAAACAATATGTTTTCCTTCGGTAAATATAACAAAGATTTAATTGATAATTTATTCTTTATTTTGACTGGTCAACCTTGGTTGCTCTTCACAGGTATGGTTATAGGGGATGGGGTCACGAGAACACATGACATGAACAGGTTTTGAATGGGAAAGAAAGAATCCCAATGAACAGTTTAACCTAATAACCAATGTTTAGACTTAGATGTTCAAAGGTTAGGTCTAACAAGTCGTTAAGGGTAATGTAACCAGGTGCCACTGCACCGCGTGCCTGCAAAGTTGTTGTGATTTGCCCCGGAGGGCAGTTATACTGGTTATACAGAATACAGATTCTGAAGTTGGTTTGTTATGCTGAAGGGCTTATACCAGATATACAGAAGTTAGTGTGTTATGCTGAGGGGCAGTTATACCGGCTATACAGATACAGAAGCTGGTGTGTTACAATGAAGGGCAGTTATACCTGCTATACAGATACAGAAGCTTATTATATATGGGTGTGTTACGCCAAAGGGCGGTTATACTGGCTATACAGATACAGAAGCTGGAGTGTTACGCCGAAGGGCGGTTATACCGGCTATACAGATACAGAAGCTGGTGTGTTACAATGAAGGGCAGTTATACCTGCTATACTGATACAGAAGCTGGTGTGTTACGCCGAAGGGCGGTTATACTGGCTATACAGATACAGAAGCTGGAGTGTTACGACAAAGGGTGGTTATACCTGCTATATAGATACAAAAGCTGGTGTGTTACGCCAAAGGGCGGTTATACCAGTTATACAGAAGCTGGTGTATTACAATGAAGGGTGGTTATACAGGCTAAACAGATACAGAAGCTTGTGTGTTACACAGAAGGGCGGTTATTCCTGCTTTATACAGAATCTGATACAGTGTTATGTTGAAGGGCCGTTATACCTGGTATACAGATACAGAAGCCGGCGTGTTACGATAAAGGGTGGTTATACCGGCTATACAGATACAGAAGCCGGTGTGTTACGATGAAGGGTGGTTATACCGGCTATACATATATATAAAAGATAATGATGACTTACCCCAGACCACCAGTTCTGTTTTGGCCCCATCGGAACCCATACTGTTCCACACCTCGCACATGTACATGCCTGTGTCAGACCATGTCACAGGGTAGATCTGTAGGGAGCCCTGTGCGGATATGAAGTACTTGTGCTGATCAGCGTCAATGATCCTGCTCCTGTTGTGAATCCAGCGCACTTGTGGAGTGGGGTAGCCGTCGTGAGGACAGTCCAGTATGGTGGTATTCTTACTCTCCTCTCTCACAGGTGCAGGATTGGAGATCGAAAACACAGAGGGCTTCCCTAGAGTTGAAATACATGTGGGAGGTGCCATAGTTGGCAGGTATTCAGCAGTAGGTCAGCAGTGTTCGTTGGCAAAATTTGACTCAAATCTAATTCAAATTTAATTTGATTCGTGAAAGGTAAGCTTGGCTTAAATCTGGCTAGAATGCTCCATAACTTTAGCCAATCTGTGGGGTTGTCTGGCATAACAGCAGAGCAATCGGCTCAAAACCAAGAGGTGCCGGGCTCGAATCCTGCCAAATCACCAATTTTGTGCCCTTGGGTCAGGCGCTTTACACGACTTTTCTCACTCCGCTCAGATGAAAATGAGTATGCCAAAATGAACATTATCATGAACTTTGGCATTAAATGAAAACCAATTAAAGCCGAACTTGGTTGGTTGGTTGGTTGGTGGTCACGTCGGGGTAAGGTTCTGAATGTGTGATAGGGGGCTTCATACTAGCACATCGGCAGAACATACTGCACCTGCGCGAAACCCGTAATGTATTGTACGAAGCACTTTGGTAGAACATCTCATCATATAAGGGCGCATTCGCGCATATAAGGTTAACATCCCGTCTGTAGTTTCCAAATGTTATGTCTGACTCAGAAAAGATACCGTCTGCAACAGGCAAAATTCTGATGCAACGTTGACCAAACATACAACAAAAACCGTGAAAATCCAGAGTTCTGCGCAGGTGCAGTACGTTCTGCTGACATGCTCTTCATACTCACGGTTTATGTTGAGGCTGGCTGCGCCCTTCCTTGTCTCCAGAGCATTACTGGCCACACAGGTGTACTCCCCCTGGTGGTAGTAATCTGCATACTGGATGAACAGGGAGCGCCCCCCCTGGGACACGTGCATGCCCTTCCCCAGGGTGGGGGAGCCGTTCCACAGCCAGGTCAGGCGGGGAGGGGGAACGCCCTCCGCCTCACAGTAGAAGACCACGTTCTGGGTGTGATTGACAGCTTGACTCTGAGGCGCCATCTTGAAATTAGCAGGCACTGTGAACATAAGAACAAAGAAAACTACATGAAGTACTAAGTCTTACAGTTTGGAAAATAATTTCATCAGGTCAGTATAACATAGCCCTTTCTCCTACGGCATAATCAGGCCTTTTAAGGCTTCATAATTAGTAGACAGCCACCCAAAATCAACCTAATTCATTATCAGTACATTTAAATTTAGTTATAACATGTATAACATGTAATTGGTCGTTTTTCGTAGGTGAATGAGTGAGTTAATTAATGAACTTAGTGAAGATAGATAATTAAGAGTGAGTATAAGTAAATGAATACTAGTAACTGAATAGCTGACTTAATGAGTGAATGAATGAAAAATGACCAAATGATCGACAGAATGATTGATAGGATGGATGAACATTAATTTTGTGTCATGTACATTCAAGCCTTATTACGAAAGCCTGGTTAGCCCAAATTGTACCAGACATGCAATATGAATCATAAAAATCACAGAGACACTATAAAATCTACATATTATCCGATACAGATTACAAATCGAGATTAACAATCATGTGACAGTTATTGGAGACATTATATTTTGCTTGTTTCTGTTTGTTGTTGAAAATCTGACTGTCAGTGCAGAAAGGAGTTTCTAAGTCTCTTAAGCATCGGTCACAACTCGCCGTACATGTTTTTGTCCGTACATATTTTTTTTAAGGCTACATCTGCTACGTTAATTCCTCAAAACAAGGAGAAGGACTGGTATGATCAGTACGTCAACGCACGTCACTCAGATGATTGCGTAAGGTATGTGGTCTGCACGTTATGCCTGGCCGTAAGCTAGTTTTTTTTGTAATTATTATTCTTTTATTTATTTTTTTCTAATTTTTTAATTTTTAATTTTTATTTTTTTATTTTTTATTATTTTTTTATTATTATTATTTTTTTATTATTATTTTTTATTATTTATTATTATTTTTTATTTTTTATTTTTTTATTATAAGCAAAATGTAAGCAGTTGAAAGTGGTGAGTTGTACGCCCTTACAACGTCACTGCATACAATCTCTGTGTGATTGCCACTTTACCGTATGCAGGTGCTGCTTACGTACGGCTGGTCACTCAATACTGGTTCATACAGGGGGTGAATCCGCAGCCCGCACGCAGAGAGAGTTTGCATGCACTTAAACTGCTACGGCGTGTCTGCGTGCTCCCAAATCCGTTTGATTCTGTACGGAGGCGGTACTCACCACTTACGGATCCCAAAAATTTGCCCACGTTTTTGCACGTAGACAGCACGCAGATGCACGTACAGCGGGTTGTGACCGAGGCTTGTTTAGTGTTTTTCTTTTTTATTTCAACATTAAAAAATACAATACATAGGTGACACACTGAAGCAAGATGCTTTTTTTTTTCGTCATATTTTCGTCATATTCACGTCACCACTTACTAAGACATAAAATAAGAATTACATCACAAAACATGGGTATCATCCAGGTATCGTCCAGGCTTTTGTCTGCTGGGCTAGAATTTCTAAGGACTGAGCTCACCGTGTACAGTCAGGTAGGCTGATGCCGAGTCATTTCCCACTCCGTTGTCAGCAGTACAACTGTACCACCCCACGTCAGCCAGGTCCACTACCCTCACCACCAGTGTACCCGTCTCCTCAACCAGGTACTTGGAGACATCCGAGGAATTTATGGTCCTGTTCTGGAAAGTCCATGTAACGTCTGGGGGAGGGAAGCCGACAGCCCCACACAGAAACTCGGCGGTTCCCCCCTTCACCTCGGTGAGGCTGCTAGGAGGGGAAGTGATGTTGCTGGGAGCTGAAACAAGATATTATGAATGGGTCATTCCTTCAACAGCCATTAGTTTTATTCTGAAATTCAAGTTCAATTCCAGATTTTGCAGTATTCTAGAACTGGAGCCAGAATTTGGCAGAATTCTAGCTCCAGTTCCTAGACCTTGCTATGGGCTCCAGTTCCAGAATACTGCAGAATTCTGGCTCTATAATTACAATTCTGCCAGATTGGGTTAATCCCAAGGGGTTCTGAATGACTACTGTGTATTTCTTACATCATTCTTACGTTAAGTTTATGATATTAGCCTATGTAGAAGTAAGGTTGCTGACATATGAGAATTAGTCCAGAATTAAATTGGAGTTCCGGAATCAAACTGGAGGCAGTTCTGTAAACATGCTTGTTTGGAAGAAGGGTACTAAGCAAAATTCTCCTTCAGTTATATGAAATTCAATCATTGACAATTATATTATCATACAGCAAGATCTGTATAAGGTAGTGATTACCTCAGAGTTTTTAAGGTCTGCCTATTTGAAGTAAACCTTTTCTGATTTAGGCCTTGCTGCCTTAGTAGTTGTGATGATTTGTTGCCTCTATCCTTGATACATCCTTTAAAAGCTATTGGGCATCTTGTTGTGTTGCCTATCTTGTTTTTTCCTAAACTTTAATCCTGTCATCCATATTTAGTACTTACTGAAGATATCCAGCCTGGCTTGTGTAGTGACATTTCCGGCTGTATTGGTGGCAGAACACTGATATATCCCCACATCCTGGTACCCTGCCTCCACCACCCACATCAGGGACTGGTTTCCACGCAGCTCTTCATTATCTGGTGTCTACAGATTGAAGAAAGATGTTATCAGCACTAAGGACAGCAACGTGAATGTCATACAGTCATACAGCAACACGGACAGCACCAAGGACAGCAAGGTTATTCAGATCCAAGGACAGCAATGTGAATGTTAAGCAACCAAAGGGACAGTAGTGTGAATGTCATACAGCACCAAGGACAGCAGTGTTATTGTTATCAGCACCAAGGACAGCAGTGTGGATGTTATCAGTAGAAAGGACAGTAGTGTGAATGTTATCAGCATCAAGGACAGTAGTGTAAATGTTATCAGCATCAAGGACAGCAATGTGAATAACATACAGCAACAAACTAGACAGCACCAACGACAGCAGTGTGAATATTATCGGCACCAAGGACAGCAGTGTGAATGTTATCAGCACCAATGACAGCAGTGTAAATGTTATCAACACCAATGACAGCAGTTTGAATGTTATTCAGCACCAAGGACAGCACCAAGGACAGCAGTGTGAATGATATCAGCACCAAGAACAGTGCTGTGACTGTTATTTAGCACCAAGAACAGCACAGTAAATGTTGAGCAGCAAAAGGGACAGCAGTGTAAAGAATGTCATTGTGCAAAAAGGATAACTCTGTAGAAGGTAAGCTCAGTTTGGTATTCACTTTGTTTCACACTGTTTACCTTGGCCTTGGGATAGAATGTCCAGGAGATATCAGGAGTTGGCACCCCCGTGGCGTTACATGTGAAGTAGGTTGTTTCACCTGGGTACACGGTTTGGTCTGATGGACCGACGGTGAACGTTGGTGGAGCTGAGAGGAAAATAAATCTACAGTGAGCTCATTTACTTTCATGGTAGTTTATTTGGCATACTTTGTATGATTCTCGTTTTTTTTATTGTTTATTATTACCTCCATGAAAAATGGAGGTATTGTTTTTGGCATGTCTGTCTGTGTGTCCGTCTGTCTGTGTGTCTGTCTGTCTGTGTGTCTGTCTGTGTGTGTTTCCGCAACTTTGTAGTCAGCATAACTTCATAACGCCTTTATGGGTTGTGATGATATTTGGTATGCTGATAAGTCTTAGGAAGACAAAGGTCAAGGTCAAATATGGGCCTCCTGGTGGATGACCTTGGTACTGCAGCAGAACCGCAGTTGAAATGAAGTATGACAAAGCAAGCCCATATTTCATGAAGGTATGAGATCTCGGAACTCTTGTTTACTTTGTACTTTGTACTTACTCTGGACAGTGATGTATACAGATGCCTCTGACCAGCCAACAAAGTTGGAAGCGTTGCACTGGTACAAACCGGTGTCTGCCAGTGTCACCTGCGGCACAAAATGTCAGGCTCAGGGTCAATGATAGAACTAGACTCTGATAGAATACATGTACTAGTTACCGGGGTACATTGCTTGAAAAAAACAACTTTTATACCATTATTAAACTGAAACTGTTACAGAGTACATGACATTGTATGTTCCCAGCCCACCCACATGTTGGATCACCTAAAAGGCCTTGGCCACATGTTTAGTTTTGTTCTAGCCAACCCGAAGACATAATTTCAATTTTCTTTGATGTAATGTTATGTTAAGGGCCAAAGGCATAACATTCCTAGGGGGGTCTGGGGGCATGTTCCCCGGGGGTCTGGGGGCATGCTCCCCGATGATAATTTTGAAATCTTCATTTCTAGGGGCAAATTTTGCTGGACACTAGCATAATGTCATCTCTTCCCATATCTATGAACCAATATTTGTCAAAAATGAAGGATTGGTCAAAATATTTGTTCATCATGAGTGGCAAAATTCCAATAAATGACGAAAAGATTGATACTGGCTAGAACATTGGTGTATAGAATTCTGTATGACAACCAAAACCGGTACCCTTTTACACAATTTTGCTGACAACATGATAACCAAAACCGGTACCTTCCTATACAATTTTGCTGACAATCACCTGTTCAATAGAGACAATGCCTGCCTCCTCCACCGTTATTCCCTTCCTGTTGGTTAGAGGTTGCCCTTGGAATGTCCATGTGATGACAGAGTCAGGATAGCCCACTGCCAGACATATGACTTCTGCAGGGTCACCCTGTGTGTATGTCCTGTCCTCAGAGGTGTACAGCACAGTGGGAGCAGCTGTTTAAAAACAAAACAAAACCAAAGATGAATGCTAGAAAGGATTAGAAAGAATAATGTTCACCTTCATATGGTGTATTCTTACTGCTCTGTTTATCTTACTGGAAACTCAAATTAATTCTCACTCAATCCAGGGTATTCTCACTCCTGTGGAGGAACACCTTGACTAACTCCATTCCCGTCTGAGTATGAATCTGAGTCTAACTTAAATTTAATAAACTGTAACAGTATAAACTTTTTACAATAAAGTTTATACTGTAACAGTACAAACTTAAGTTAGACTCAGATTCATACTCAGACGGGAGTTAGTCAAGGTGTTCCTCCACAGGAGTGCGAATAACCTGTTTTGAGTGAGAATTAATTTGAGTTTCCAGTAACTTAAAGATAATCAGAGCAGTTGTAGTATAATATGGTGTATGATGATGATGATGATGATGCTCTGACTTGCAACTTACAACATAATGTAACCCAAAATCAGATGGTTTCTGCTATGACACCATAGTTACCATGGTGTCTGTTTTTTAGACACCTGGTCCACGTCATTGACCTTGTGTGTTTGAAACAGAAAAAGAAACTGAGAAAAACAGTATGTTTTCCTTCTACAAACTTTACGGTAAACATGATTATGCAGGAAATTTACTGTAGTTTCCAAAACAAGGAATGACATCACATTACATGTACACATGACTTGGTGAGACACAGTGTTCAAATTTGACCCTGAACATGCCCCAAACACTGCTGACTTACTCCAAGATGTTTGTCTGGTATTCTGCTAACTAACAGCTAAAAGAAAACATCTCCTGACCAACCGCCAAATGTTCTAAACATTTGGCTTCCACAGCCAAATATAGTTAGCGCGAACACAAGACAACTTTACACCAACCTACGACAGCTGTACTAGCCATGCATGATAGGCCAAATTCGTGAATGTGTGAAGTGACAAATATTTAATTTCAATTTATACAAAAATTAGCTACTCTGGGGAGTGTTTGAAACACACTCAGATTTTTAATGCCCAGATTACGTATACTCCTATCCCGGAAGCTAGAAAACGCCTCAGTCTCTGTCACTTCGTCAACCCAGTAAGATTTAATCTTAGATTTCTCTGGATACGTGACTTGATGTTGCTTATCACATGACAAGAGACAGTCATTAGGCTTAGTTAGTGTCAAGTGCTTTACTGATTGCTTACTGTATATCTTGAGCCAGGCAAAGGCAGTGGCACTTCCTGCATCACTGACAGCATAACACGTGTAGACCCCAGCCATGGTAGAGTCTGCCTCAAACACAGTCAGGGAACCAGTCTCCTCATCCTGGATGTACTCAGATCTAAACAAACCAATTACATACATGTTGTAATTTTTACTGAGGTCACACTGACTTAATTTTATGGATGACATCCTCTGAGTACCTGCGAAGTAGAGCATAAAAGTAGAAGATAAATAAGTTTAACTATATCCGTGAATAGTTTCATCAGGTTGGTAAGACACTGAGTAAAGAGACTCTTTTTACACAACCAAGTCTATTTAGCCGACATTTCAGTGACCATTTGTCACCTTCCTCAGGGCAATTCTGACTGGTTCACATTGCATTGCAGCACAGGTGTCGCTGCTACAGATGCATTCCCAAATATACAATATTTACATATCTAGTACACAAATGCGTGATTGGATTACAGGGTTGCAATGCAATGTGAACCAGTCAGAATTGCCCAAAGGAAAGTGACGGTCACCAAAACATAGGCTGAATAAAAGACTTGCCTGTGTAAAAAGAGGTCTCTTTACTAAAGAAAAACTGTAAGTTACCCGTTGGTCCTGTAGATGTCGATGCCATCTTTGTACCACATGACAGTTGGAGCAGGGACACCAGCAGCCTCACAACTCCACTGGACTGTCTCACCAGGCAGGACAGATGTGTTCATGGGGGGCATGTGGATGGTGGGTGGAACTGACAACACAAAAACTAGTTAGTTGTAAATTTAATAAGAACAAGAAATTAGAGATTCCAAACCCCTTGGGAAGTAACGTATGATGAATGACAAGGACGGATGAAACTTTCAGATATCACATTAACAACTGTTACTGGACAGGTACAGTTACAATGTTAACCCTTGGTTGCACATACATGTACATGTACAGTACCATCTAGCACCCAGTGTATAGGTACGATTTAGAGGTATTTGCCATGCAATGCATCACACCGCAGCAAAATGCAATGAATGTAGACTGAAGTACACCACCGCATACCGCAAAACCTGGCATGCTCTTCAACTTTTTGAACCAAAACCATAAATCCTAACTTGCAAGCTGGGCAACCTGACATCCCCAAAAAGTATTGCACAGAAAACATAACTTGGACTGCCACCTTTAGAGTGGGTATACATGTAATATGTTTTTTCTAAACGTTCATATTTGATTATGACTCCGAAAACAATATTATAACAAAAAATTTACTGCAAATTCATGCCTGAGGGCTAATTGCAAGAACATGATAAAATAATAGGAAGTGAATGATTGCCACTTTTGATGATTAGATATTGTTAGGTTTGATTTCTTTTCTGTGTGCAGTAGTGTAAGAGTATGAAATGGCTGACATTTTGTGATATGTATACAAATTGAGAGGTGTTAAGCTAGGGAAGATTTTGGTGGCCATTTCAAATAATCTCTTTTGGATCTTTAATGAGGCCAATGACAAATAAAGTACATTTCATCCTCCATCCGGAAACAATAACAAAGTTAAAGATAAGACACATTCTAATGCAAGTTTCTGAACTTTACTCAGTATATATATAATGTAGATTAATAAGTAAAGTGTACAACCTTGAACAAAGACATGTGCCCAGGCTTGAGCAATGCCGAGGTAGTTCCCAGCGACACAGCCGTAGTCTCCAGTGTCATTGGCCTGTAGGTCATGGATAGTCAGCTGGTTCTCTGTTGTGTTAATCCTGTCTCCATACACTATCGGGTTCCCATCCACGTACCACCGCAATCTGAAGTTCAAGTTAGAGTGTTCCTAACATTAATGAGAGTAAATATAGAACCATGCAGCAGCTGAAATGTAATATTTTTATCATTTTGTTTGAGGAAGGCCCACGGAAACTGCATAGATTTCAGGCCTCTCTGTTATACCATCATGGTATTGTCCATTTTTATTATTTCATGTAAATATTTTGTACATTGTATATAATGTGCAAACAACAACAAAAAACAAGAACTGAATACCACTCACTCACTCTCACTCAGTACTTATAAAAAGCCACAGTTAGTAGTAAATTTTGCTCTGCTGCCACATAACCAGACGGATTGGCTTAAGTTATGGAGCAGTCTAACCAGATCTAGGCTATGCTTACCTTTCACAAACCAAATCAAATTTGAGTGACATTTGAGTCAAGTTTGGCCCCTGAACACTGCTGACCTGCTCCTGAATACCAGCCAACCTTGGTCTAATCTCCTGTTTCACCTGAATATTTTAAACATATCCACAATCAGATGAATGACTTACTCTGGTGAGGGGTTTCCAGTGGTATGGCAGGTCAGTGTCAGCTCAGACTGGCCTGCCTCAGTCACTACATCAGTTGGAGACACTTCAGCACTGGGCGGATCTGGGGGGAGCATCAATACAGTGAGATTGATGAAGGTTAGACATCCAGGGGGAAGTTAGAGTAAGAGAGACTTGGTCAGTCAAACCCTCCACAGTGACCAGCTTTCCAAGCTGGCCTTTTGGTCACTTTTTGTTGGTCCCTAAAAAAAAGAGAAAGAGAGACACAGAGATACAGTGACAGAAAGAGATGGAGAGACAGACAGACAGAGGGAGAGACGGAGAGAAAAAGACAAAGACAAACAGAGACAGAGAGACAAAGGGACAGAGAGAGACGGAGAAACAGAGACACAGAGAGAGACAGAGAGAGACAGAGAGACAGAGACAGAGAGACAGACAGAGACAGAGACTGACAGAGATAGAAAGAGAGACAGAACAGAGAGACGGAGAGACAAAGAGAGACAAAACAGAGAGACGGAGAGAGACAGAGAGACGGAGAGACAGGAAGAGAAAGAGACAGAGAAACAGAGGGACGGAGAGACAGAGAGACGGAGAGAGACAGAGAGACGGAGAGAGACAGAGAGATGGAGAAACAGAGAGAGACAGAGCGAAACAGAGAGAGACAGAGAGAGTAAGCATTCCCTTCATTCTAAATATACTTACTTATTTAGAATAAAACACCCTAGCCTGACTAGAAGCAGTATAATTGTATGTCTCATTCATGTTGTGAGTTGACCCTCTTCAAGGAGACCACCTGTCCAAGGCAACCGCTAGATGTATTTTAACAGATCTACTGCTGCAGCAACTACACTAAGTCTTATAGAGCAATCTTTATCACAAAAGACTCTAATCAAGATTTCTGCTGGTATTGTGAGACAACAACGGAGATAAAAATCACAGAATAACCTACATTGGACGATGAGCTGCATGTTTCTGGTGATGTTTCCGGCAGAACTTGATGCCAGACATGTGTAGTTCCCTGCATCTTCCCTCTGTATCATGTCCAGGGCCAGGACAGCTCCATACATGTCCGTCATGGATGTCACCTGCAAAGGAAAATACAGTGTTTTCACGTGACATTTTTCTAGTATATTTAGCATGTGACATCAGTACTCGGTACAGGATAGAGTAGGGGAAGGTCATTCAGTACTAAGGCTAGGGATGGTACAGTAAAGAACATAGTGGGGGAAGATCCTTCAATACTAAGGCTGGGAATAATACAGTATGGTACGGGGTAAGGGAAGGCCATTCAGTATAAAGGCTGGGGATGGTACAAGATAGTACAGGGTGGAGGAAGACCATTTAGTACTAAGGTTGGGGATGGTACAGGATAGTACAGGGTGGGGGAAGGCCATTCAGCACTTAGCCTGGGGATGGTACAAGATAGTACAGGGTGGAGGAAGACCATTTAGTACTAAGGCTGGGGATGGTACAGGATAGTACAGGGTGGGGGAAGGTCATTCAGTACTAGAGATGGGGATGGTGCAGGATAGTACAGGGTGGGGGAAGGTCATTCAGTACTTAGGCTGGGAATAGTACAGGATAGTACAGGGTGGGGAAAGGTCATTCAGTACTTAGGCTGGGGATGGTACAGGATAGTACAGGGTGGGGGAAGGCCATTCAGTACTAGAGATGGGGATGGTACAGGATAGTACAGGGTGGGGGAAGGCCATTCAGTACTTAGGCTTGAGATGGTACATGATAGTACAGGGTGGGGGAAGGCCCTTCAGTACTATGGATGGGGATGGTACAGGATAGTATAGGGTGGGGGAAGGCCATTCAGTACTTAGGCTTGAGATGGTACATGATAGTACAAGGTGGGGGAAGGTCATTCAGTACTTAGGCTGGGAATGGTACATGATAGTACAGGGTGGGGGAAGGCCCTTCAGTACTAAGACTGGGGATGGTACAGGATAGTACAGGGTGGGGGAAGGCCATTCAGTAATAAGGCTGAAGATGGTACAGAATAGTACAAGGTGGGGGAAGACCATTCAGTTCTAAGACTGGGGATGGTACAGGATAGTATAGGGTGGGGGAAGGCCATTAAGTACTAAGACTGGGGACGGTACAGTATAGTACAAGGTGGGGGAAGGCCCTTCAGTACTAAGGCTGGGGATGGTACAGGATAGTACTGGGTGGAGGAAGGCCATTCAGTACTAAGGCTGGGGATGGTACAGGATAGTACTGGGTGGAGGAAGGCCATTCAGTACTAACTCTGGGGATGGTACAGGATAGTACAGGGTAAGGAAAGGCCCTTCAGTACTAAGGCTGGGGATGGTACAGTATAGTACAGGGTGGGGGGAGGCCCTTCAGTACTAAGGCTGGGGATGGTACGGGATAGTACAGGGTGGGGGAAGGTCCTTCAGTACTAAGGCTGGGGATGGTACAAAATAGTACATGGTGGGGGAAGGCCAGTCAACACTAAGGCTGGGGATATTACAGTATAGTATAGGGAGGGGGAAGACCATTCAGTACTAAGGCTGGGGATGGTACAGTATAGTACAGGGTGGGGGGAGGCCCTTCAGTACTAAGGCTGGGGAGGGTACAGGATAGTACAGGGTGTGGGAAGACCATTCAGTACTAAGGCTGGGGAGGGTACAGGATAGTACAGGGTGGGGGAAGGCCATTCAGTACTAAGGCTGGGGATGGTACAGGATAGTACAGGGTGGGGAAGGCCGTTCAGTACTAAGACTGGGGATGGTATACAGGATAGTATGGGGGGAGACAATTAAATAATAAGGCTGGAGATGATTCTGAGCACGTCGGCTGAATGTACTGCGCTTGCGCAGAACACTGATTTTTCACGGTTTATATTGGATGTTTGGTCAATGTTGCATGAGAATTTTGCCTATTGCAGAGGATATCTTTTTCGACCTAACATTTGGAAACTACAGTGATGGAGTGTTAACCTTATATGTGCAAATACGACCTTATATGAGACATTCTCAGAAGTGCTAATAGTTTGAACCAAAAATAGTAGTTCTAGGTTAGAAGACTTTACCTCTTCAGACTTGAAAAGCCATTTGACAGTGGGTTGGGGGTTTCCGGTGGCATTACACAGGACGTAGACGGATTCATTCACTGCAGGAGTAACTTTCTGTGGAACCTCGTTCGCAAACTCTGGAGGCACTGAAATTTTAAAGAGGAATGTTTTAGGCCACAAAAATCAATCTTACATGTATTCCTCAGTTCTTCCTTTCTTTTCTTTCTTCTTTTTAATACACAGCTTATCAAGGCAGTGGTGACTGGTATCAGATAACCCACAAATACAAACATGGAGACAAACATCAAAAAAAGAAATCTACTATAAGTACAAGACCTGAAATAAAGATAACATATTATAACTGGTCACAAAGTACAGTACAACTGTAATACATAAGAAAAAAAGTTCAGTCTATTCTTGTACAATGTGCCCCTATATGGATGCCTTGCCAGTGAATGAAACCTGTTTCGTAACCATCTCTTTAGAGCTTGAATCTGAAATCCGAGGTTAAATGAGATTTTTGAAATAACATTGTCAACATGCACTGTGTTAACCATGTTTAAAGTTGAAACTTTTGTTCCAAGACAAAACTTTAAGGTAAATGTTTTCACCTATGAGCTTTCGACCAGTCACTCAGGTCTTCCTCAGTTGACTGACCCAGTGGGACTAATCTTGTGGCTTCTCTGACGTGTGACATCAACACTGGGTCAGTATAGTGGGAAGACCAGGGTGACTGGTCAAATTCTCTAGGTGAGAATATTTAATGTTTACCAAAGGAAAACATACTGTTTTTGCTCAGGTTCTTCTTCCTCATCTTTTTCTCCAAACAGTGACCTCTGACCTGAAGCAATGTTTTGTCTGTGGCCACAGTAACTTAAAGTGTTGGGTTACATCATGTTGCAATTTCATAGCAGGAGGAATTTAGACTGCTGACACCATATATATGAAACAATGTGTTTGAGTAAGAATTAACAGAGCAGACCATATGAGAAGGTAATGCATTTGCATTTGCCTTGCAAATGTTACTTTCTAGTTACCTTAAGTTTGTGTTGGAACAACAAACTACCAAGTTCGTGAAGTGAACACAGATGAACTTATATGACAGAACATATTTACCATGTACAACCAACTCCACAGTGGTTTCATCTTTTCCCAGACCGTTGCCTGCCTCACACCTGTACTGTCCAGCATCTGACAGCTGGACTGCAGGTATGTACATCTGACCACTGTCACTCATCATCGCACTGAAAACAAAAAAAAGCAAACTTAGACAGATAGCCCAGGCACTGTCATTTCTATTGTATTAAGGCTCCCAAACTATTATAATTGGCTCACAGTCTATAATAAAATATCTATAATAATAGACTTTTTAGACTTATTAAGGCCATGTTGATTTGATTATATGGATGACATCCGCGCGCGCATGAATTTTCGGCCGTTTCCAAAAAAGTTTTCAACCATACTGTAAATCGCACAAAACAGTTGCAAAATGAGCAAAAATATACCATAAGTTTCAAAAAAATTAATAAAAACTATACCAATGTCGTAGAATGCCAAAATCAAACGAAAAAAGACGAAATTGTAAAGAAATGAACTTGAAGACTAGATTATTCGCCAAACCATATTCTGTGCCATTTGCTCAACCCTCATGACCACGTAGATTTCATAATGAAAAGAACTTTTTTTTTTTGACAAAACTTTTTTTTTTATTCGCACGCGCGCATCAGTTTTGGGGCTCCCGGAGGATGTCATCCATATAATCAAATCAACATGGCCTTATTATTTTGCAAAATCATGTCTGAAGGCTAATTGATTTACAATGATCAAAGATACTACAGGTATTTGGTATGATACAGATGACAGACAACTGTTTGGAAAAACTTATACTTCTATACTACTACGCCTAGCTATTATGGGGTTTGACTTCTTCTTTGAAGGTAGTGGATAATGAATACTCCGACCCACATTCTGCATAATAAGTGGGTTTTGTGATCTTAGCAGAAACATACTAGTCTTTTGGTGATCTTCTAAATGATGAGAAATTGGAAAAATTGTGGTAACTGTCTGAAATAATAAATTTCTTTCTGAAAATGTGGAATTCTAGACTTGATGTAAACTATAATTACCTGTTGTTGGGGGCAGACCATGCATACTCCGGAGGTGGGTTCCCTCTAGCCTTGCACTCCAGACGTACCTCCCCGCCTGTCAACACTGTCCGGGTCTCTGGGATATCCTGGTCCATCTCTGGAGGGTCTATGGTAGTAGGATGAATAAAACAAGTAAATATCACTTGAATGAAAGCTCATCTGTGTTTATTTGTTACCTTCGCCAAGAAGGTTATGTTTTCAGTAGCGTTTGTCTGTGTGTGTGTTTGTCTGTGTGTTTGTGGTTTAGCAAGATAACTCAAGAAGCAGTGACTGGATTGAAATGAAACTTGGTAGGTATGTAGGTCTTCATGAGACCTAGAAATGATTAGATTTTGGGCCCCCTGGCGGCTTTCCTTGGTACTGCAGCAGAACTTCCGGTTTTGATATCTCGTGATTTGGACATGCTAGGGTCACGAATTTTGGTTGGTAGATAGTTCTTGGAATAGGGAAGAAGTGACATGAGTTTGGGTCCCCTAGCAGCTTGTCCTGGAACTGCAGGAGCATTTGTTGAAAAAATTTCGAAGGATGATAACTCAAGAACCGGTTGACGGATTGTCATGATCTTTAGTATGTAGGTAGTTGAAGTGATGCTTGACATAATCAGATTACAATTATGCAAATCAAGGGGGCTAATTTTGCATAATTAATGAGGAAATTCTATAAATCTGCTTTGTTCGATAATAGAACTATGAAACACTTGTGACATCTACTTGAGAACAAGATAAAACATCTGAGGATATAGATTATGTAAATGAGGACCTAATTCGCATAATTAATGGCAAATTTTTATATTTTCATGGTTATAACTGTTGAGAATTTCATACCTGCCACATTTGGAAGTTAAGTGAAGCTGAACATCAATAAACATAAATTATTACAATCATGACCTCATTTGCATAATTGATGAGGAAGTGCTATAATAGCCTTTTTGTTAAAATAAGGCTGTCATTGGGTGGAGATCGAATATGATCAACTGATATAATCCACGCAAATGAGGCTCTTATTTACAAAATCGATGATTAAATTGTATAATTCGTCAACCGCAAGGTTTAACATCACTTGGCGAAGGTATGAGATCGCGGAAGTCTTGTTTATTTATTTATTTAATCTTCAAAGACACCTGGGTAGCTCCTTCAGCCAATAGCTGATTTCCAAGGAGGCCCAAGGGGGTACAATAAGTTTAGTAGAATCCATAGTACTAAAAAATAATTAACTAAATGTATACAGTTTGAGCTTAATTCCAACACAACAAAGTGAAGGAGGCAGTTTACATCAGGGTCCACCAACCCTCTCTGAACCGTGACGGTGGGAGATTCCATCTTCCTGCTATTTTGGATTCACTCCTTACATCATCACATTTCCAGCTTCTGGAGAGTAAGTGAGTTCCCTTTGTTGTGTTGGAAATTTATTTATTTATTATTTTGAATTGTATTTGTAACATGACAATACAAAGTGTGCACTAGGCAGCAAGTATGCTGATAGCATGCACACCTAAAACACATCTGTACAATATGACATAAAAAACAGTAAACAATAAATAGTTAGAACAAGATACACATTGTCAAATAACATTATCTGATAAATTACACCTGCATTTAAAATCAATTTTATAACAGTACAGTACAGCAATTGAATGTTTAGTGTGGCTCAGCTGGAAGAGGCACAGAATCTTTTTGATTGGGCAATGAACGTGTGTTGGAAATAAGCTCAATCTCTGTGACTATGGATTCTACCAAATTTTAACACACTCAGCTGAGTTTTCATTCAAATCTAGCCACGAAGTTAATTTCTTTTTAATGGAAACTTACACAAGACTTCCAGATGGATGTCTGTCCTGTCTTCACCCAGAAGGTTTTGTGCCACGCATGTGAACGCCCCGTCATACCGGTCCTGGATGGCGTGGACCTTCAGAGTTCCATTATCAAACACCTTGTACCTAAAAAGAGAAATATATAAAAGGGCGATATATGAAACTACATGTACCTGTGTCGGAGAGAATTTGTAAATACTGCTCCTCAAATGCAGTGGAAGACGAAATTCATTTCATCTCTAACTATCCATTTTATGATGACATCAGAAAACAATTATTTAGCAGACTCCAACCGTGTCCAAAATGCTCCCTTACTTCACCACCATCCCTTACCACAAAAAAAAAAAAATTTACTACTAAAATCAAATAACCCACATATTATAGAAGACCCTAGGTCTTTTTAAAGCTATAAATTTCCTACACATGCTACTTAAATTATCTGGAACCAATGTCACTAGCTACGCATAGACTACATGTGCTACTTTATCTTGACCCAAGGTAACTACCTATGCATAGACGTCATTCTTTTTTACATTGACCCAAGGTCACTAGCTATGCATAGAGTGCACATGCTATTTTACATTGACCCAAGGTCACTAGCTATCCATAGACTACACATTCAAGCTACTTTTCCTTGACACTAGGTCATAACTTACATGTACAACATGAACATGTATGCATAGACTACACAATCATGCTACATGTACTTTACATTGACCCAAGGTCACTACATGTAGTTATGCATAGACTAAACAAAGATGCTATTTTACATTATTCCTAGGTCGGTAACTATGCAAAGACTACACAAGTCATGCTACTTTTCATTAACCCTGAGTCATAACTATGCATAGACTACACATGCTACTTAACATTAACCCATGGTCACTAGCTATGCATAGACTATGCTACATGTACTTTAATTTTATTGATTCTAGGTCATAACTATGCATAAACTATACAATCATGCTATTTTACATTGACCCTAGGTCAGTATAAGTATGCATGGACTATACAAGCTATATAAACTGGACATTACCCGGATTCTAGGCGTTGCACATCCTTTCCTTTGAACAGCCATGTGAATGTTGGTGGGGGTTTTCCCACTGCCTGGCACTCCAGCATGGCACTCTCTCTTTTCCTGATGTTCATGTCTGGCACATAGTGGGTGATCCTGGGCTTCACTGTGTGAAAAAAATGGTACACAGTCAAACTTGGGCCCTTGGGCGAAACCCTTGCATATGGAAAGTGCGTACGAAAGTTGCGGATGTCCAAATTTTAATATTTTTCGACAGGTAAGGGGTTGCATTAACCGGTGCAATAGCTCAATTGGTAGAGTGCTCGCTTTGTAACCGGGAGGTCATGAGTTCAAACCCAGGCCGGGTCATACCAAAACTTTAAAAAATGGTACACACTTCTTTCTCTGCTTAGCACTCAGAACATATGAGAAAGAGTGTGGGAAGGTCAAACACACAGCATTATCAGCGGACTAGCCCCCTGCTGCAAACACATAGCACTACCAGCGGACTAGCCCCCTGCTGTACTACTGTGCCTTGCACAATTGTGTGTCACCCAAGGGCTACGGAAATGGAGATGGGCACCACCCAATGCTCTGCATGAGAGCACGGGAGACCTTCTTCTTCTAAGGGGTTGCATACGATCATTCCTGAAACTCAAGGCTGGGAGGCATGCAGACTCCAAAGCTCTGGTCTGGATGCTATCCACTGCTGAATCTCCACGACTAAAGAAACCAGTACATACGTACCATGCCAATTCATAAATTCCGCCAACATGTGTCGACTTGTCATAAAAGTCACTATGTACTACCGCAAGTTTACAATACCAGCTTTGTTGTTTAGCAGCAATTTTATATTGGACATATTTTTTTTATCCACCTGGGTGCACCACATGTAGTTCGGGGGTCTTCAGAGGATGTCATCCATAAAATGTGTGTGTGGCCTAAAACTTTTAAGTAAAAAACAGTCAACAATTATAATAATCTTACCATACTTGTTGAGCCATGCATGTTGTTGGTGTTTGTTGTTGACCTGACAGGTGTACCTGCCCAGATCACCCTCCTCCACAGACAGTATGGTCAGGTCCTGTCAACATGGCAGGTTAAAACAAACAACCATGTTTAGACTATTGTTTGAACAGTGTCTAATACATGCGAATGTACTTGAAAAAAAAAATAATCACCAGGCCTTTCTCAGCCTTCCCCCAGTCTGTATTATAGTTTACCATCCCAAGCCTTAGTACTGAGGGTCTTCCCCAACCCTGAACTATCCTGTACTATCCCCAGTCTTAGTACTGATTGCCCTCCCCCACCTTGTACTATCCTGTACCATCCCTAGCCGTGGCGACTCTTGACTCGGGCTTACATTGCATTACCCTCAGCAAGAGTCGTGGAAAGATCCATTGGCAGAACTGCACATTTCCCGTTGGCTGCTCGATGCTCCGTTTTTGACCCGGTTTTTTGCTGTCCCGAGCTTCCCTACAATATAACTCCACAATTGGCCGGGTTGCCGATGTTCAGATCGGCCTAAATATTCCACAGCGCGACGGGAAAGTACTAAAATAGCTAGTCGGTACATCCGCGCCGCCATTTTGGATATAGTCCGGAATGTCCGCTACCGCCGTAGGGAACGCTCGGTAGCGCCACGATTACCGAAGCGGGACCGAAAACTCTCCGATCATAACCGGAAAGCCTACCGAGCGTTCCCGACGGCGGTAGCGGACATTCCGGACTATATCCAAAATGGCGGCGCGGATGTACCGACTAGCTATTTTAGTACTTTCCCGTCGCGCTGTGGAATATTTAGGCCGATCTGAACATCGGCAACCCGGCCAATTGTGGAGTTATATTGTAGGGAAGCTCGGGACAGCAAAAAACCGGGTCAAAAACGGAGCATCGAGCAGCCAACGGGAAATGTGCAGTTCTGCCAATGGATCTTTCCACGACTCTTGCTGAGGGTAATGCAATGTAAGCCCGAGTCAAGAGTCGCCACGGCTATACCATCCCCAGCCTTAGTACTGAATGACCTTCTCCTACCCTGTACTATTCTGTACCATCCCCAGCCTTAGAACTGAATGGCCTTCCCCCACCCTGTACTATCCTGTACCATCCCCGGCCTTAGTACTGAAGGGCCTTCCCCCACCCTGTACTATCCTGTACCATCCCCAGCCTTAGTGCTAAATGGCATTCCCCACACTGTACTATACTGTACCATCCCCAGCCTTAGTGCTGAATGGCATTCCCCACCCTGTGCGTCCTGTACTATCAGCCTTAGTACTGAATGACCATCCCCCACCCTGTACTATCCTGTACCATCCCCAAGTTTAGTACTGAAGTGCCTTCCCCCACCCTGTGCTATCCTGTACCATCCCCAGCCTTAGTACTGAAAGGCCTTCCCCCACCCTGTACTATCCTGCACCATCCCCAGCCTTATTAGTACTGAACGGCCTTCCCCCACCCTGTACTGTCCTGTACCATCCCCAGCCTTAATACTGAAGGGCCTTCCCCTACCCTGTACTATCCTGTACTATCCCCAGCCTTAGTACTGAATGACCATCCCCCACCCTGTACTATCCTGTACCATCCCCAAGCTTAGTACTGAAGTGCCTTCCCCCACCCTGTGCTATCCTGTACCATCCCCAGCCTTAGTACTGAAGGGCCTTCCCTCACCCTGTACTATCCTGTACCGTCCCCAGCCTTAGTACTGAAGGGCCTTCCCCCACCCTGTACCATCCTGTACCATCCCCAGCCTTAATGCTGAAGGGCCTTCTCCCACCCTGTACTATCCTGTACTATCCCCAGCCTTAGTACTGAATGACCTTCCCCAACCTGTACTATCCTGTACCATCCCCAGCCTTAGTACTGAAGGACCTTCCAAACCATGTTCTGTACTATACTTGAATCCAACTATATTTTCTTTCTACAGCTTTTCCTTACTTACATGTAGATGATGTTACAATTCCATTTCAGTGTTAATGTTTTCCCAAAGGCATCAACTAACAAATTGAATCCAAGGCCTTACATCGCTTTTTTTCTGGCTGTAGAATGAAAGATTTTTAGACATTACCCTGGTGACCACGTCCAGCCTGTGTCTGGAGTTATACGGCAGGGGGATGTCCCTGTAGTCGTGGAAGGTCCATGTGATGGTGATGGCAGTGTTAGCTGTGGCCTCACAGTGGAACGTGGCTGGTTCACCTGATAATGTTCAAAATAGACCAGTTAACATTTTACCAATCACATGAACAGTTTTTTACTGGTTGATATGTCACAGGGGGACATTTCGGGAACCTGGAAATTCATGCCCGTAGCCAGGGAGGGGTGGGGGTCGGGGGGTTCAGACCAACCCCCCACAAGGCTCAAAGGTCCATTTTTTGGTCACCTTTTCATGTAAAGGTTCAAGATTTTTCTTTAAAAGATGGACTAAGAGGCTGGAATCATAGGAAACGGCTCACTTTGTCATTGAAAAAAGGTTATCTCTGATTTTTTCTTTGAAATCCTCTAAAATGCAGGAAATGCCATTTCAGAAGGTTCATTTTTCAAAATTTCCTGGGGGAGCATGCCCCCAGACCCCCCTAGGAACCTTTGCCACTCGCCTAGCACCTACAGCGCTCGCTGGTCCGTCAAGCAGTGGGAAGAACCCCCCCCCCCCCCCAAATTCAAAATCCTGGCTAAGGGCATGAAATTGAAAACGGCTTTTGCTTGCGGTGTTCCCCCTGGCAGATCACTGCGATGGTCTGCATTCTGCTCCCAGATACCAGAATCAGCTATCTGGTGAGATTGGGTGGAAGGAAAAAAGAACAGCCAACCTTTAGTGAAGTATTGATAAGCATTAGACTTATTGTACCAGCACAGGTCGGGAAATTTCAGAAATCAGAGTTACACACGTCAGTAAATTGCCAGGGACAAGAACTCAAGTAAAAGCCGTGGAGTAACTTTCTATTTGAAATGTCCACCTGCATGTGATGTAAGCAGTTAATGCAATCGGTGAAAGGTAAATTGGTCTATTGGAACTATATAATTACTGCACAATAGTGCATGTTTTCTCAAACCATTTTACACAAAGATATTCTCACCCTTTTAGAAAACATTTAAGCATCATCCCCCACTATATTTAAGAGATTTTATTCAAGGCTGCTGACCCCGTGTACAGTATCTTCTAGGGAATTCTTTGGAAGCAAAATAACATGTGTTTGGGGTGGATAGAAGCGTACATGTATCACTTTAGCTACAAGACAAACTTAAAAACTTGAAAACATGGGTTCCAAAGTAAACTTGGCTGAATCCTATTTCAATACAACTGAGGGTAACAGTACTGTAAAAAAGTATAAAAAATTCTCACTGACAGACAATGCAGACAGATGTAGCATGGTTGTCAGCAGGTTTTCTATTCTAAGACTTGCAGTGCACAATCATACATTGTACACTTATTATGTACTAAGAAGATAAATAATGAAAAATAATATGTTACTTACCCAGTGCAACAGACTGATTCACAGGTACTGTTACAAAGTAGGCGTGGTCTGATAGTGAAGGAAACAATATACAGTATGATCAGTTCCTGGCATAATAGATTTTAATAACATCTAAAAGACATTCAAGTGTATGTAATAAATAAGTATGTTGTTAACTATATACAACTGACATTACCTTCAAGTTGTCAAGAAAAAGTTATGGAGCTTTCACATGGCTTCCAATCACCATTAAAACATGATGTACACGACTTATGCACAAGAAATAAACAAGATTAAGCCATTATGGAAGTTTAGCTCCTTAAGCTCTCGGGACAAAGAGTTTATATTCACAGTCTGAGTTAGGTAATGTTAAGAAACACTTCTTCCATAGACTAGTTCCCACAGCTATTTGAGCATCAGGAGCCCCCTATCCTGTGATTTGGACCACTATGCTTTTAATAAGCATTTTTGGCCGATAACCTTCATAAATCTTCAAAAATTAAAATATGACATTAGAATGAAGCTATAGCAAAGGGAAAACTTTAACTTCACAAACTATGTCTCAAAAGGCAAGAAATAGTGTCTCTGAGGGTTATGAGTTTCAAAATTGTTCGAGGAGAATACCAGATCTCCTGCTGCAGTCATGTTTTTGGGACTCAAGGAGCAACTTGCACCACCAAAATTGTCCTTTTGTACCAGACCCCTATGCTGTGAAAAAATCCTGGTGAGAACCCTGACTGATAGACTAGGTATAGACTAGGTAAGTCTACTGAGAAAGACCAGAATGACTGGTCAAAAGCTCTATCATAGAGCTTTGAATACAATGTGTTGGTACAAAATTTTTAACTTTAAACCAGATAAAACCATGTGGGAAGGGCAGTTAACATCTGTGTCCATAATATCACCAGGGTCTATAATATTGCCACCTTGAGAAACAGTGTGCTTAAAGATATTTTTACTGCAACATACTTTTGGTATGCACTCCTTCACACATCAAATGTACATACCTAGGGTACAATGTATGTTGCAGTAAAAATATCTTTAAGTACACTTTTTCTCAACAAGGTGGCGATATTATGGACCCTGGTGATATTATGGACACAGATGTTAATCGAGAACTGTATTTGTTAAAGAATTTAATGTTTAAACAAAGATAAGAAATCCTCCATGTACCTACCGTTCATCAGCTGAGGAGGGATCTTGTTCTTCTCCTGAAAAAGTTTGTTAAAAATTAAATGTAGATTATGATCATTTTTTTAAATATAGCAAGCCTAGAATGAAAATTGAACAATAACATTTTCTGGCATGTTCTAATTGATATGGCAGGCAACTATGTAGTCCGTAGAAATACATGTACCAAGGCTACAAAAAAACTAGATACTATTATTAGATGAATTTAGGCCACAGCAAGTAATTTTGAATGAATGACATGAGCATGCACATTAATTTTCGCCTGATTTTGCAAGAAAAAAAATTTTGTTGCCCTCTGACAGTGATCAACTTGCCGAAAATGTTGCAATGCCGGAATGCATATTGCTGATAAATATAAAGAGAGAAGACAAGATAAGGCTCTGACTTATTGTTTTGTCTTTTACTTTGATGTAGTGAATCAGATGTATTTTATTCCTTTTATATGTGATGTTCCCATCAAATAAAAACCAATCTACAATGATTATATCATTGAAAACTTTTTAATTTCTTTCAATCACAAATGTATGTAGTAATAGTTGGCAGCACAATATAGGTTTCATTTCTTTTCAAACAAGGTCTATGATCATGTCAAAATTTGAACATGTAGGAATATTGGATTTTTTCGGCCTGCCTTCCTAATGTTGTTTTTTGCCTTGTCACAATTCGATTTAGAGTCTGTGCAGGATGTCATCCATGGCATTCAAGCGATCGCTTGTAAGAGCTACATGTACATTCACTAGATTCGATGCTCACTACAGTTCTGACTTCCCTTGCTCTTGGACCACGTCTTGTGGCTGTGCCTCCTGTACAGCTTTAAGGCCTCATTAGTATTCTTACTAGTTTTTAATATATAATAATTAATATATGATGAATGATATTTTTGGCAGTGTATTGTATTGTATTTTTATGACTATTTTATGTTATTGTAGGAATTTGTATTTCATGTCAACAATTGTTCGACATTGTACATGTTCTGTATTGTTGTGTTTGGGAGGACAACTTGTAAAAGTGTCTGTCATTCAATTATAGACCTGTTTTGTCCTCCCTTCCACTTGTAACTTTGTACTTGTGGCAAATTCTTAACAAAAAAACAAAAAAAATTTACTTGCTGTGGCCTTACAAGAGTAATGATACTTGAGAAGAAGAACAAATTCTTAAGGTAAATTGGGAACTACATTTCTTTTGTACAAGACATGTATTACTACTATTAGTACTTACAGACAGGGGCAGAGGATCCACAGTTTCAGATGTAACTTCAAAGGATTTAAACTTTCTTATTTCCTTTGGTGAGATCATGGCCCTGATAAAAATGAGGAGATAAACATTTTTTTACAGTAACTGTTGATAGACAACCAATATATGTAAAATACATATTTTACAGTACGGAAAAATATCATGCTGTCAAAATCTATGGCAAACAGACATTATATTATAGCAACATTATATTATATCTTAGCAACACAGACAAGTTCATATTTCTGTTGATTTTAGACAATCCTTCGATTATAAAACACATCTGTACTTATATCTACATCATCACTAAGAAGCGAGAAGAAACCAAATTATCGTAATTATTAGACTATATGTCCATAGTACATAGAATTAGCACTAGCTTGTACATTGTATATATTCATTGCAAGCTGTGACGTCTTTCCTGTGACCTGTACTGAACCCAGTGGGTATTTGCGTACAATAAAGGTCTTCATTCATATATTTCCCACTAGGGCCACACCAATTTAATTTCTTGGTTAACGGATTTTTCTAGAAAAATAATGGAGCGGGCGGGCGAAAAATAAATAAAATAAAAAAACAGGCCTAGGCATCCTATTATGGCCCAAAATGGTACGATAGGAGCCATAAAGTCAACACACCAGGCTGGTTCAAAATTTAAACAATGAATTGTGAACTTTTATTGATACCATTGCATTGAAAGATGGAACAACTGTAACAACTAGGATGTAAAGGACTGTTATCAACTGTTCAGGGCAAAAGATGAGCATTTTGCAGTTGATTCTGAATTTTTATTTTCAAATCAGAAAAAAATGAAGCAGCGAATCCGTTAACCAAGAAATTAAATTTGTGTGGCCTAGTTCTCATTAAAAATGTTTTCTTTCACATGGTTGAAAATAAGACAGGAAAATTGTTACAAGACAGAAAGTTGTTTGGGCTCAAATAATCACAATGATAATTATAAAATGCATGAAAATAATATTCTGACCATCTGGGTTCCCAGACAATCAATTGTATTTGGGTTATCACTATGGTTAAATGATTATTAACTTTGCCAAAAATTATGTTTTCCGCGATGTTCGTGTGCGTGTTTGTGACTGTGCATCAAAATGATAACTCAAGAAGGTTTGGGTAGATTGTCTGGTTTTTGGTAGCTGAGTTACAACAGTACATATTATTGAGTCTTTTTTTTTTTAATTTTGATTGTTCATTTACAAAAAAAAACAACAATAACACAAAAGATAACACATATACCACGGATCCAAAGGTACATTACAGAATAAACAAACAAAAGAAATAAACAAAATAATGCCAGCCAACTAATTGAGTCTTTATAAAAGACCTAAAAATGATTAGATTTTGGCAACTTTTGGCCATCATTTAACACAACCCAAGACCTTACTTGCATGCATATGAAATATAAAAAAATGAAATTGCCTTTTTGGCTAATATAAGACTGTCATTGGTTGAAGAATATGATTAAACTAATTTGAATCATGCAAATGAGGATGTCATTTGCATAATCAATAAAGAAAATTTATAATTAGTCAGTTCTAAACTTAAAGTTAACATTGGTTGGCCAAAGGTATGAGGTTGTGGAACTCTAGTGAAGGTTTATGATAATTGTGATGAATGTGACTCAAAAACGTAGCCTGTACATTAAAAAAAAAAACATTGTAAGGCCACACCAATTTAATTTCATGGTTAACAGATTTTTCTAGAAAAAAAATGGAGCGGGCGGGCGAAAAAAAAAAAAATTAAAAACAGGCCTAGGCATCCTGTTATCATAATGGTAAAAATGGTACGATAGGAGCCATAAAGTCAACAGACCAGGCTGGTTCAAAATTTAAACAATGAATTTTGAACTTTTAATGATACCATTGCATTGAAAGATGGAAAAACTGTAACAACTAGGAAGAAAAGGACTGTTTTGTACTGTTCGGGACAAAATATAAGCATTTTGCAGTTGACTGAATTTTTATTATTTGAGTTAGCGTAATTTTTTTTTTCAATGTAAGTGGAGCTTTCTGTTGCATTATAATATCACAAAAATCAGTGTCCTTTCTACTTCAGGGCCCAGCGGGGGGCTACACTCCATAATTGGAAGTCTTGTCTCTGCCTGCTTTTCATCAATACGGTTAATTGTCTGGCTTCAAAGCACTACGAAGGCTTCAAAGCACTACTCGCGGTAGACTTCAAAGCACTAGTACTAGACTTCATATTTATGATGGAGGGCAACAACCTTCATGGCATCCACTATGTCCTTCACATATACCTCCAAGTAGCCATCCTAGGGTGGCATAAGCCTGTATCAAATTGGCCAGGCAGTATCCAAGGGTTAGCGTATTGGACCCTCTCTGGCCAATGGATACTGTCTGGCCAATTTGATACAGTGTTTTGCCACCCTAGGATCTGCTTGAAGATCACATTACCGGGTACCTCACATTACATTTTAGAGCAGCCTGACTACATCTCATTTCTATCAGGCCCCTTTATAACAGCTTTGTGGCCTCTAATCTTTGATGAAGGCAATCCAATACAATTTCAGCAGAATGCAACGACACTGACAGTTTCTTGTTTTGTATGGTAGGTTGGATCCAACTACTGTATTTATGAGTAGTGACTAAACATAAAGACACGCTGCACATATATTACATGTAGCTTGCTTTTGGGCTTATTATTATTGCTTCAAGCATGAAATAATGACAAAAATTTGCTAAGAAATGGCAATATTAGGCAGATTTCCTCATCTGAAATAATTTTTTTGTTTTACTAGTATTTTGCCACTCAGAAATGGCATTGTATGCCTTCAAATAAGTAACTGCAGAAAACAGGAAAAACTCTACATTGATGTATAATGTAAGAAACTTACACAAACTTGATTCGTCCGACATCCTCCTTTGGAGCCTTCCATGTGACGGTCAGAGGGAGGGACACAATACAACCCTCCCCTTTCAGAGTGGATTCCTAGAAGGAACATGAAGACATGAAAACATTAAATGTAAAATAAAACTATTACAAAAACAATGTCTTAAGGGAAGAATCTTAAGAAACTTACCATTTGACCTAACAAGAAACAAATCCTGTCTGAAGACTGAAAAAGATACTTTTTCTTAAATTTTCTTGAAAAATCTTATTGATGAGCATCATACTAGAAATATTTTTTTTTCACCAAAGAAAAAAAGAAGCATCTTTGAAGAGGTCATAGTCACCTGTTATGTCAATCATTCCACAAATGAAGTGAAGCTCATAAATATTAAACAGGACTCAACCCTAGTGCTGTGTACCGGTTCGCTGGACTGGTTCCGGACTTGTAAAAATGTTTAGGTTCGAGTAAAAAAAAAACTAAAAGTCAAGAACCGAGTCCGGATATTATTACAAGAAAAACCCATATCAGGTACCCCTTTTCTTTCCAAACCACCTAAAACCTTCCATAGATTGCAAAATCTATGCTGCAAAATGAAGAAAACATTGCCATCGGGCATCATCAAGTGTCAGCCTCCAATTGTTATGTGGCCAAAGTTTTGCCCAAACTACGTTGCAAACAGACAATAATAATACAAAACAAGGATAAAACAGGTGCAGGAGGAGGGGAGAAGCATGGAATGCTTATACTAGGCCCTCCTCTTCTAAACTATACAAAATTAAATATAATCAATAAATTAATATAAATAATACAATAGAAAATGGAAATAATACAATAAGGATACTAGTAATAAAAAAAATGTACGGTAAAAGTTAATGTCAATGAAATAAGGTAATGTAAGGTATAAATACAGAGCAATAATGATAATGATAATAATTGGTATGAGTTACAAACTAGAATTCCGAGATCTCATACCTCCATGAAATATGATCTTGATATGTAAATGTAAATTTCTTCTTTAATTGTTCAAATGACCTCTGCATTAACATGATATATGCATCGTGATGTATGTTAACTTTTGATTAACTTACAGATGTCCCAAGTATGACATTCTCATCATTCACCATTACGAAATCATAGAATTTTCACATTAATTATGCAAATTAGGTCATCATTTGCATAATTAGTATCTGTTGAAGTTCCACCTGCCATAGGTTACATAGTATAATGTAAAACACTGTAATTATAGAATTTCCTCATTAATTATGCAAATACAGTCCTCATTTGCATAACTTGCATTTAATTATGTACATCTCTCTCTCAGCTACCTACACACCAAAAATAATGAAAATATGTTGTTCCTGTCTGGACTTATTGGCTTTTAAACATTTCACCAGAAAGTGCCCTGCAGTTCCAGAACAAGCCGCTAGGGGGCCCAAACTCATATGACTTCTTCCCAAGCACGAGAGCTACCTTCCATCAAAATTTCATGACCCTAGCATGTCCAGATCGTGAGATATCAAAACGGGGGACCAAAATCTCATCATTTCCAGTTTTCGTCACACCCTACCAACACACCAAGTATGAAACCCATCCATCCAGGCGTTCTTGAGTTATCTTGTTGACCAACAGACAGACGGACAGACGGACAGATAAACGCAACTGAAAATATAACCTCCATGACAACCTCCATGACACATTTCATGGAGGTAATAAGAGAAAAACACGAAATGAAACTAGTACTACAGGGGGCTAGGTTCGTTTATCAGATGGTTTTTCAAAGCTTGTTTGATTGAGAGAAGAGACAAGGTAGGATTCTTTAGGGCTGGAGTTAGTTCATTCCATAAGGTGACACCTTTGTATCTAACCGACATTTGGGCAAGAGAAGTTTTTACTAGAGGGATATGAAAATCGGAACGTTTGCGAGTTTGATAGTTATGAATCTGAGAACGAAAATTTAAAAAATCATCAAATGTATCCGGGAGTTTATATTAACACAGCACTACTCACCCCTGTTCTGCTGAGTTTTTGGCAAGTGGTCAGGGAGCTGGAGGTCAGTTCCGTGAAGGTGCCGACAGCTGACCTGCAGCCTGTCCTCACCACACAGGCCTCCAGACGGATCTTGTCATAGCGTTGCCACGACAACGACCCATCATGCTCTTGGCTAACGTCATCATGAGTAATATTCACTAGATTTAAATGATAAGAATGTATTACTTATTATGACATCCAAGCGCTATGATATAAATGAAAAACTATGTAAATTTGTTCATACATGTTTCAAAAACTGAGAGAGAAGAGATCCTGTAGTTAGGTCCTGTAGAATGATAGAGAAATAGCACACGAATGTAACAATTGCTTCTTCTATTCTTGTTTCCAAGTTATTTAACTTAAATGCATTTGGCTCGTGTAGGGCGTGAATATGCAATAACATGTGTCATTGTCATTGTCATTTTCATGAAAGTTCATCTGTAGTTACAAATTGTTTAGGGTTAAAACTTTTGATCTAACACAAAATGTTCTCTCACCTAGAACGACATTGTCTACTAGATATATCTTTGACCCAGTGTTGACGTCACACTTCAAAGAAGCCATGTGACAAGCTTCACTAGGTCAGTCTACTGAGGAAGACCAGAGTGATTGGTCGAAAGCTCTAGGTGAGAGAATATTTTGTGTTGGATCAAATGTTTTACTCGAAACAAGTATAATTATAAATTATTTATTTTTATTACAGTGTAAATCATGATTTTTTTGGAGGTACTTTAATCCTGGTTTTTGTACAGTCACTTCTGTACCACAAATTTATCATTACTGTGAACAAATAATTTGCCAACTTTTTTTCTTCTGCACCTGCTGCCACCATGAATATGTAGTTGTGCGAACATGTCTGGACTCCACTTTTCTGAGACCGCAAAATTTTGCTACCGTAAATATAAAGTGATTTACAGTACAATGTACATGTATTTAGGCCCCATCAATTATTTATATGTACACTGTACATGTATGTATCAAGGCTTTGTTTTCAGTGTAGGAACAGGAAATTAGGTCAATGGTCCCAGAAAGGTCCCAGCAATGCTTATCTGATTTCCTGTCCTCAACATGTACATGTACATCTTGTTTGAATACTTTTATTATGCTTTGTACTTATGTCTGTTGAAATTTTATATTGTTAATTGATTGATCTTAGCCTAATGTGATACTTGTTAGCTTATCAATATGTTATATTGTGTATGTTTAATTTGTGTATCTTTCGGCACCTGAAATCAGCCATGCTGCCTAGGTGGCCAATGTATTGCCTCTTGCAATCGAATTAAAATAAAATGTACATGTACAAAATGTATCGCATAAATTGTATGTTGCCTTTTTAAAGGAGCCATGCCAGTGGAAAGATGCATTTTTAGACAACTATTACATATGAGGCCATAGACTTTTTTTAAACATTTTTTCCCGCCCTGTTGCTCCTAGCAATACTATATACAATGCACAATGTATTATGCTAGTGAATTTAAATGAGCTTGTGTGTTCATTTACTTTTTGAGCGTTCTGCTTCTACAATTCAATATTTACACAATAAGGTACAGAGAAAATGTGAAAACAAGCAAAAACAAGTGAAAAAAGCAAAAATAAGTGAAAACCAGTTGCAACTAATATGTGTAGGCATTAGTATGCAAGAAAGGAATAAAAGGGTGAACATGGAGTATTATGCAGTGTAAGTTCATGCAAAAATGTTCATGACTACATTTGTACCTACACGTACTTACTATACACAGGGCTCGAAATTAACGGTGTCCCGATGGCCTGGCTGACCACTAAAATTTTGGCCGGGACAACTATAAAGACACTTTGGGACATTTTTGGGACAATTATAGAAAAATAATTAACCACAGAATGTCAGCCCTTCTTTTTAATTGTTCAACAGGCACACATCCTGGCTTTTGGCTCAGGAAAAGTCCCCTCAAATTTCCTATTTTTGTCATACAAAAGTCACACAATACTTCTGAAAAACAGGTTGGGACAGTTCATCCTCACTTCAGGACAATTGAAACTAACAGTGCTGGGACAATAGTAAAAAAAGTTACTTATGCATTAACAGGACTAGTGTGTTATGGCTTCAGGCTGCTTCCTTGTTGTTCGAAAAACAATCAGAATCATGCCGTTAGCCAGGATTTTGAATGGGGGGGGGTTCTTTCCACTGCTTGAGGGGACCTGCGCGAGGCGAGTGCCGAAGGCGCGAGGTTCCTAGGGGGTCCGGGGGAGCATTTTGAAAAATGAACCTTCTAAAATGGCATTTCGTGCATTTTTGAGAGGATTTCTACGAAAAAATCAGAGATAATTTTTCATTCAATGACAAAGGGAGCAGTTTTTCTACGATTCCAGTCCATCTTTTCAATTGAAATCTTGGACCCTTACATAAAAAGTGGACCAAAAAGTGGACCTTTTATTACATACATGTAAAAAGTGGACCAAAAAGTGGACCTTTGAGCCTTGTGAGGGGGTTCTTCTGAACCCCTGGCTACGGGCATGAGAATCATGTAAAAAAACAGAAATTCGAGACGTTACTCACCGATGTAGGTGTTGTTGGCATAATACCCCTGTGTGAGTGTCAGGCCTGGGTCTAGGCGGTAGCCACCGCTCTGGTCTCTACCACTCACACAAGATGGCGTCACCACCAGACAGAGGCATGACATGGCCAGCCACCATCCAACACCCATCTGAAATTAGAACACAATTTGTAGTTTAAAGGTCAGGGTGGCAAAACTGGAATAAGGCAATCTCTATGATATTGACACATACATGTATTGTCCCACATTAGTACATTTGCATCAGAATTTAAAGGCACCCAATGCGATTTCCGGGCAGCAAAACTGGAAAATTTAATATTCTGAATAAGGCAATCTTAAATATGATATTGACTCACACTGTTTCACATTAGCACATTTGAGTCAAAATTTCATACTTTGGGCTTTTGAAACTGCAGAAACAAGCCCCAAGATGAGTCCTTCATTTCCTGGGTGGTACCCTAAAGATCAGCCAAGGGCCCTTCCAGTAACCATTTTCTGTCAGAATTTTTGCTCACTGGGATAGTTTGGTTTCAACTCATGTAGATAAGTGGCTAGAATTTGACTTTGAAAAATCGGGTTTCCAAGCCCTAAAAACTGCACTGGATGCCTTTAATACTTTGCAATTTGGGCATTGAAAACAGTGCAGAAACAAGCCCCTGGGTGGTACCCAAAAATCAGCCAAGAAACGATCCTACCATGAACCATTTTCCTTCACAATTTTCTGCATTTTTGCTCCATGAATGTCAACGTATATTGCATTTGGGATAGTGTTTTTTCCACTTAACATGTAGATATATCAGAAGAATAGTGACTTGAAAAATCTTGTTTTCAATTCCTAAAAACTGCATTGGGCACCTTAACACATAGTATCAATCCTGACCTCCAGTAAAAACATACATTTTTTTATACACTCAACATAGTAGTGTGTCAAGTTACTTTCGCTGTGGTTCCATTTCACAATAGGAGGGAAAAAATAGGTTACATGGTGTTTTTAGGTGTCATTGCAACAATTTTGTTCTACTGCAGACAGCCACATATTTGCAGACTGCCATGAATTTGTGGTGAAAAAACTCGCCACGAAAATAAAGCAACAGTGAACATTTCAAGGTTTCCTTACTATAACAGTACTTGATTTACACATACATGTTTATAGTACACTAACAAAAGAAGGATTTTTTGACACAATCTGTCTAAAAACTTGACAGTTTTGCTGAGCGACAAGAGAAAGGCCTTGTCATGATCATTGGGTGTGGCAAATTGTCTGGATGAGAAAGAAAAAAGTACTTTACCTTGATTCTCCAAGATCCTGCTGTCTTTTCCTCCATCAGTTGTACACTTCACCTAAGCAAGTTGTACTCTTAAACCTCAGGTCCAAAATTTGGCCCTGATTTTGTTTACTATAGAGAAAATCATTGCTGGAAATCTACAACATCCAGAGTTAGAAATATCGGGGAGAAAATGACTGCGTGGATTCGTATGCATACACATAGGACGGAGCCAGACAATCATGGAAATGTCTATTCAACATGTGACGTTATTCAAGAGTCACGACATCGATGTTTACATCAAATTCTAGCCTCTACCAGGCCTTTCCATGGTGGGAGGGATTGTAGAATTGGTGAAACTTTAAGGAAAAAATAATTGGCCAAGAGAGTCAGTCCAAGGGATGGTTAAAATTGGCATGTTATATTTTTATCAGGGCTCGAAAAACTGGGTGCATGTGCACCTTATAATTTAGTGCACCTGAATTTGAAGCTATGCACCCAATTTTTTTCTGTGGGTGCACCAGTGCACCCAAATGTTTTTGTAGGTTACGCATATGTCAAGATGTTGAATTTAGCTTATATTAAATAGAGTAGTATACAGCATATTCTTAACATCTAAGTGTCATAAAAATAGTAAAATCATTCTTGTTGTACTTAAATCTTTAGAAACAAAACATAATTAGTTTTCGCTGACATTCTATTTTTTTTTTATCTTATATGGTGCAACCACAGAAAAATTTGTGCACCCAATTTTTTAGGTTGGGTGCACCAGTGCACCTTTTCCCAATAATGAATTTTGAGCCTTGGTTATTGTTCTTTACTGTGTAAACTCACCTAAATCATTCTATTTGGCTAAGTGGCGTTTGGTGGTGTAGTGGTTTAAAGAGCAATCGACTATGAACCAGGAAGACCCGGGTTCGATTCCGAGTTGTACCCGGCACATGTCTGAACATGCGCCTGACGTTGTGTCCTTGGGAAAGACACTTTACACAACTTTCCTCACTCCTCCCAGGTGTGAATGGGTACCTAACTTCGGTTGGGGAAAGTCGTATTGAGGTCACCTTGTGGCGACGAATGGCAGCCGCACAGACCCTTGCGACAGTTCCACAAAAATAATTGTGGAACAAACATGTGTATCATGTGTATTATTTGATTGTTGTAATTGTTGTGATTTGTATTGATTATTGTGATACCCTGCATCAACTCAGCTATATAAAGGCTGAGACTGCACGGGTACTGTTTGGACAATAAAAACCATTTATTATTATTATCATTATAAATCATTCCCACTATTTGGTTAAATTCTCACCGCTTTTGACCCAGTGTTGTAAGTCTGTTGGAGACTAATCAAACTCCTGACACGTGGCTAGAATCGGTTTTCTTTGAAATCTGATGAATTTTTGGCACAATAGATCATCACGCTTAATCTACCAATCAGAGCTGACGATACAAATGCCTTTTGGTTTTACCTTAGTCACAACCTCAGAATAATGCCCCTTTTAGTTCTGACCTCATAATCAGGGTCAAACATAGCCTCCATAGTATGCCAAAAACTGAAGGTTTTGGGGGTCTTCAGGGTCTTTGGGAGCTTTTATGTGCTATTTTCTGATTGCATATAGACAACATGGCCGGCCTGGTTGAATTACCCCCGTTTTTTGAACTGGGCTAATCAGAAAACTGCCGAAGACCACCAAACCCCCAGTTCTATAAGCCTGCTTCGGAGGCTAGGTCAAACAATGGATTGAGGATCATTGAAATTTTTTTTTTTTAATGGCAAGTTTAGAAATTGTTTACACTTTATTTTACACTGAGCAAATTAGGATTTTTTGTGACCCTTGATTTTGTAAATTATTGAATACATTTATGCACAATGTTTAAGTACAGGTATGATTTAAAAAGATAACAAAACAATTTGGCAATGTACAATTTGGCATTTACAAAACTTGTTGAGTCACCTGTCAAAATTTCGACCACGAAAACATCACATATTTTTTTTGGAAGATCTATGTAGTATAGGTAGACAAATGAAATTAATGAATAATATTCAATTCAATCTGATGTATGATTCAATTGAATGATGGTTGTCACTAAGGCCACACCAATTCAATTTGTTGGTTCTCGGATTCGCCTCTTCGTTTTTTTCTGATTTGCAAAAAAAAAAAATTTGATTCTGGTCCTGAATCAACTGAAAAATGCTCATGTTTTGCCCCCAACAGTTGAGGAAATTCCTTTTCTTCCTAGTTGTTACAGTTTTCCCATCTATCATTGCAGTGGTTTGGTTAAAAGTTCAAATTTCAATGTTTAAATTTTAACCCAGCCTTTTGTGTTGACTTCATGGCTCATTTCGTAGCATTTAAGCCTATAATAGGATGCCTAGACCTGTTTTTATTTTTTTTTTTTTCGCCCTGTCGCTTCATATTTTTTCTGAAAAATCCGAGAACCAACAAATTAAATTGGTGTGGCCTCAGGACCAAAGAAACTACTTCTAGTTTCCAGGTAGTAGCATCTATGTACAGGCTATATGCAGCAATATTATTACTTTCAGGGACAGTAGTGTGATACTGGAATTATAAATTCTATATAATTCATTCAAGTTAACTGCATATAAGCTACACCTTGAAAAACAGCCTGTCTCACAGCAATATTGAGATCATCCAAAAACATCACATTATAATATCTCAAAATTTACAGTTACATATTCGGATATATTCGAGCTTGCAAGTGTTACTACTTGCTATTTTAGTTACTGTAAATAGCCTTCTTCAAAGATGTTTTAGAGTGGCATCATTTATTTATTTTTTTTTTTGAGAGGGAGCGCATTGGAAAAGACAGCTCATGGTGCCTGATTAAAAAATCTACAATGACAAAATTGTAGGACCACCTATAATTATGAATATTAATGTGACTGTACCATACAAATTTTACAATAACACAACTTAAAGCATTTTACTTCATTCAACAAATTTAATGCACTTTTCAAGGCTATGATTTCGACTTGAATGTAAGATTGTAAAGCCATTTACTGACACGACAGGTTCAGCCCTATATAATCATTCTTACATAATATAGCAATTTTGGTAGAACTTTTAATGTCCTACTTCAAATCTATAGCATGTACTAAAACACCTTAAGTTTACAGCAGTCAAAAAAATATGACTAATGGACATAACTTTCCAGACAATTTTACAAGAGTCAATAACAACACAATATTCATGACATAAGCAATTGACAATGTTACATAAAACGAGTGAGTGAGTGAGTGAGTGAGTGAGTGAGTGAGTGAGTGAGTGAGTGAGTGAGTGAGTGAGTGAGTGAGTGAGTGAGTGAGTGAGTTCAAGTGAGTGGGTGGGTGGGTGAGTGGGTGGGCGAGCGAGTGAGAGTGAGTGAGTGAGTGAGTGAGTGAGTGAGTGAGTGAGTGAGTGAGAGTGAATGCAGCTTTTTAATAAAAAACAGCCCTTACACTACCAAAAATGACATTTCTAGCATTCTTGTTTTTTCTTACAGTCAGAAAATATTTCTTCCCTGAAGAAAATTTTTCTGTATATACGTATTCAAGAACGAAATTTTGTCCACGAATTAAGTAATTTTTTCTTGATAGACTTTTTCTTGCAGTAAGAATATTTTTCTTATAGGTTTCTATATAAGTTATTGTTGGTTACTTCTAGAATCTTATTCTTACAGTAAGATTCGTGATGCAGACAATTATTCTCATATACAAAGACTGCAGTTCTCAATACAAGCCTAAAATTCTATAAATCTGGAAGTTATTTTATTCTTTCAAGATTTTCGTTCTTATCCCAAGAACACTACATTCTTATCTGCTAGAAATAGCTTCTTACTTCATCTCACACCCAGAATATATTTCTTCTGTCAAGACCAAAATTCTTGTGATACATAGAAATAGATTAAGATTTATATTCTTGCATTGCACTAAAAGAATAATTTTTTCTTGTGCAAAGAACTTTTTACTGTCAGCAAGAACCTTATTCTTTGAACAAGAATCCCCGTTTCCAGAAAATTCAAGAAACTCACGCCACGTTGTTCTTATTCTCAGAATTTATTTCTTACAGCTAATAAACCCATACTTAAGAATATTCTTCTCATGATAAGAATTACGGGTTCTTACAGGAAGAATATCTATCTTGTTCGCAGGAAAATATTTCTTGAACGAAGAGCTAACTGTTACACAAGAAAATATTTCTTGATCTAAGAGCTATTTGTTCTTATAGCAAGAAAACCATTCTGCCCACAAGAAAATATTTCTTGAACTAAGAGCTAACTGTTCTTGTAGTAAGAAAACCATTCTGTAGACAAGATTTCTTGAACTAAGAGCTAACTGTTCTTGTAGTAAGAAAACCATTCTGTAGACAAGAAAAGATTTCTTGAACTAAGAATTAACTGTTCTTGTAATAAGAAAAATATTCTGTATATAAGAAAAGATTTCTTGAACTAAGATCTAACTGCTCTTGTAATAAGAAATCCATTCTGTAGACAAGAAAATATTTCTTGAACTAAGAGCTAATTATTCTGTTAGCAAGAAAATCATTCTGTATACGAGAAAACATTTCTTGAACTAAGAGCTAACTGTTCTTATAGTAAGAAAACCATTCTGCACATGAGAAAAGATTTCTTGAACAAAGAGCTAATTATTCTTGTAGCAAGAAAATCATTCTGTATACGAGAAAACATTTCTTGAACTAAGAGCTAACTGTTCTTATAATAAGAAAACAATTCTGCATATAAGTAAAAGATTTCTTTAACAAACAGCTTAATTATTCTTGTTAGCAAAAAAATCATTCTGTATACAAGAAAACATTTCTTGAACTAAGAGCTAAATGTTCTTATAGAAAGAAAACCATTCTGCACATGAGAAAAGATTTCTTGAACAAAGAGCTAATTATTCTTGTAGCAAGAAAATCATTCTGTATACAAGAAAACATTTCTTGAGCTAAGAGCTAGCTAACAGTTCTTATAATGAGAAAAACATTCTGTACATAAGAAAATGTTTCTTGAACTTAGAGCTCAATATTCTTGTATCAATAAAACTATTTTGTCCACAAAAGAAGAAATAATGTTACAGAGAATGATATTGCAACAATTAAAATCCTGTAACAATTATTTGACAGGCCTCTCTTGACACTGACAGTATAGGAATATTTCACCACATTCATTACAATGTATGTACATGTATCTAACATTCTTTGAATGGAAACAAGTTTTACAGTAAACTTAAAACTATCATACGATGTAACCAACAATCCATTATCATGGTTAAAGAATACAGATCATATCACATTCCAAAACATTCAGCAAACCCTGCAGCTTTGGCATTATAGCATTGGCACAGTCACAGTCTTTGGAAACCTGAAAAAAACAGGAAAGACCTTTCTTAGTTTGCATTGCATGCAGGGGCTGAAGACAACAAAGTCAAAAGAGGATGCTAAAAATAGGATTGAATTACTTCAAGTTTATTCAACAATTAAAATAATATAATTATAATGCAGTAAAACACTGTACTCTACAATATACCAGAGATACAATTTAGAAATCAACCCCAATGGAATTGTAGCAAATAAGCTATGAAGTCTAAAAACAATGTCAACAGATTTTTTCTTCTTGGTGGGGAGGGGGGGCGCACTTACCTTATATAAGTTTGGTTCCATCCTTTTTCGTTGCAAAGTTGGTTTCTTCTGCAAGCCGACACGATCACCATTGCTTCACATGCTCACAAGGTCCTTTTTACCTTGATTTTGACTTCAAATCCGACGATATGAATCAATATCTGACTAAAAAGAAGTAACCAGCACAGAGCACTGCCCCCACATCTGACTTCACCCCAGCTTCTGTTCAAAAATCTCTAACTGCATTCTGGGATTTGAATTAACCAATCAGGAGCTCACAAGAGATCACATGACAGTTATGGCTAGAATGTTAAGAAAAAAATTCTTACATTATCTTGAACATTACCAGGGAAAAAACTCATCTTTCTTGAACTTTCTCGATAAGGAAAACAAAAACGTTAAAGAACTTTAAGTATTTTTTGCTTTCAGGTTTTAAATTTGATTTCTAATTCAACCATTTTTTTGTTCTAAAAAGAAAGCAAAGACACAGATTCTTGTATTTTCTTGAACATAACCTGACCAAGAAAAACAAGAATCATTTTCTTGAACTATCTAGATAAGTAAAACTATGCTAGTTACAAGTATAGAATTATTCAAAGTCAAGAAAGTAAAGAAACTAATTCTTGTCTCTGACATTACTAAAAGAATCTAGAATCAGATTGCTCAACTTTCTAAATTACAAAAAAACAAGAACAAATTCTTAATACCCCAAAATAGATTCTTACACCAAGATTCCTTTTCTAACTTTAAGAGTGATATTACTTATCAATTACTATTATATTATTATTGTCAAGAAAGCCTTTCTTCTATTTAAGTTTCATGTTCTTACAACAAGAATGCATATCTTTTCCTCAAGACAGAAATTCTTATTATTTATACCACTATAATCTTTGAGACTTTGGTTCTCAGTTCAAGACCAAAATTCTTACTGTCAATAAACACTTTCTTCTAAGCAACATATGTCAAGAAGTGAAGAAAAAAAATCTTGTTTTTTCTGACACAGCCCAAGAAAAGCAAGAACTTCCTTTCTCAAAGTTTCTTGATATGAAAAAAGAAATTCAAGAATGTTATTCTAGTTATGACTTGATCTTTTTCTTCTAGTTTCAATATCTTGAATATTCTTGTTTTTCTAAGCAATATACTCAAGAAAGGTTAGATCAAAATTCTTGTTTTTTCTGACACAGCCCAAGAAAAGCAAGAACTTCCTTTCTCAAAGTTTCTTGATATGAAAAACAAGAAAATTCAAGAATGTTATTCTAGTTATGACTTGTTTTTTAAACCCTGCTTTTCTTGTTTTTCTTACTATGAGAAATACAAGAAACTTAAGGGAAAAATTCTTGTATTTTCTTAACCATGGCAAGAAAGTAATTCTTCAGACAAGAAAAACAAGACCATTTAACTCAATTTTCTAGAACATTCTAGGGGGAGAAAATCACTGCTAGAAATTATTTCTTCACGTAAGAAAAATAAGAAAATGTTTCTTGTAGTGAAAATTTACAAGAAAAAAATTTTAGAACGATCTGTTGCTCTTTTCTTATTTATTCTTAATTTTTCTTGAAATTTCTTCATGTAAGAAAATTTGTCCACGAATTAAGAAAAACAAGAAAAACAAGAAAAATCATTTTTGGTAGTGTAGGCCACACCAATTTAATTTCTTGGTTAACAGATTTTCTAGAAATATAATGGAGCGGGTGGGCAAAAAAATAAAAAAAATAATAACAGGCCTGGGCATCCTATTATGGCCCAAAATGGTACGATAGGAGCCATGAAGTCAACACACCAGGTTGGTTCAAAATTTAAATTTTAATTTTAAACTTTTAATGATACCATTGCATTGAAAGATGGAATAACTGTAACAACTAGGAAGAAAAGGACTGTTTTCAACTGTTCAGGGCAAAATATGAGCATTTTTCAGTTGATTCTGAATGTTTATTTTTATTTGCAAATCAGAAAAAAATGAAGCTGTGAATCCGTTAACCAAGAAATTAAATTGGTGTGGCCTTAAATCTAGAACATACCACTGTAATTGGCACTAGTATTAGAATATGTGGGTGCATCTAATACATGTTAGTCACAGTCTTCACATCCAAAGCTCTCTCTTCAACATGTGTAAGGTGCATAAATTAACATCTATTAACCTAAAAATTTACATACTTGCAGTGCCATTGTCTCCTGCCTGCTGATACACAAAGAGGATATCTTCATCCGTACCGTAACTCTTTCTGGCATCCTCAAAACTCTGAAGTGAGCAGCAGCACAGATCAGTAGCCAGGCCTGGATTTCTATATAGAATACCTTCCTCACTGTACCCACAAACAACAATGAAATGTCCCTGGTAGCCTGACTTGTCAAATTTTTCTCTAGTGTCTACATTAGTAGGGTTTTTGTTTGAATCTGCTTTAGTGTCAGATTTCTCTTCCAATGTTTGGTTATCCTCACACTTATTTTGATCCGTAACAGAAATTTCAGCAGTAGCGTGTAAGCTTTCGTCAGTCTCTTCTTCGAGAGGCACTTTTGCAACTTCTTTACCGTCGTCAGAGTCAGAGAGATTCTTGGCAACGCTTCTTACTTCTTTGTTTAGTTCCGAAGCCACAAAAACTTCTTCTTCATCTAAGTCTTCTGATAAACAAGACCATAACATGTAGCAAGGCCAGCAGCAGCAAGCTTTTTCCTCGTTGCACCAAACACAGTGAAGTTTTGAGGAGTCGACCAAAACAATGGCCGCGTTTCCTTTTGTTAGATGTTCCTGTATTTGCTGTATTGTTACGGTCTTTTTCTCCGTACGTATTCCCAACGATGCAGCGTTGGTGAAGAGGTGGTTAACTCTCTGTTTGTCTTTGTCGAAGTTGTCGAGATAGTAGCTCTCTTGTTGGTAGCCGCTGTCTACCCCGAGAGTTCGCGTACAGAGGAGATGGGGGATGTTATAGTGCGCCATGATCCACGCGAGATCCACCGTCCACACGCTGCAGCCCACGTCCATCTTTTCGCAGAGCGCGCGGAAGTTGTCGGCGGACGGCGGGGACGGTAGGACGTGTCTGAGAACCATCCGCGTACACGCCAGCCCGCAGTCCCACTCAAAGTGTTGCTGTATGTGCGGGACGTTTAGAAGAACTTGTTGAACGCCTGACGGCTTTCGGCTTCCTTCTTGGCAAGAACTGTTGTCAGAAGAAGTGTTGACAACAAGCGGTGGATCAGAGCTGGAGGCAGGTTGGTTATCGGGTTGAGAGGTTTCATCTTTGCTTTGCTGGGTGGAGTTTTTCACATCATCACAGAATTCATCCATGTTAAAAGTCACACAAAAGATTACTTTTAGTTCATGTTTATGTTGACAATCTTGATGTTGTCACTGTTATTATAAGGATGCCACCAGCAGATGTCTGAAGATGAGACATTAGACAGAAATAGTGGAATCAAACCACTTTTAGCTGACTTTAGCTGGTCCAGTGTAGACTGTAAGGTGGAAATGCTGAATCCTGTAATAGAAAATACAGACATATATCATAACTTGTCAATAGAATTTAAATCAAGACATACAATTACAAATGTACATACACATACAGGTACCAGGGTTGGACAAGTCCCATTGCCCACTTCCCCAGGGCAAGTAAAAGTACTGTTTGGGCAAGTGAATATCCCCCTGTACTTGCTCGACTGGGCAAGTAAATTTTTTGAAAGCGAAGTATAGCAGCTATGGTGTTTGGAGCAAAATTACTCATCATTTTGCCATAATGATATGATATCAATGCCCTTGTCAGAAAATCCATTGCAAGTCACAAACCACCTTATTTTGATAACTCTAAAAATAAAATAATTTCCTTGCTGGTAGTAAAAATTTTACTATGTAAAATTATGCATGTAAAAATGTCGTGTATATTTGGGGCAAGTGAAAAGTTAGTTCCGGCAAGTGGAAATCATGTACTTGCCCGATAGGGCACTGTATTTTTGAAAACTTGTCCAACCCTGGGTAGACCATTTTATTTCCTAATTTATATGAATTTAGCCATATTTATGATGTGCTAGTACTTGTGGTTAACCATAATTTTTGAAGTAGGGTATATGGAATATAAGAATTGGCCACCAGGAGGCCCAAAATCAAATCTGCATGTCATTTACTGTGAACTGTTATAACTGAAAAATAATCTTCATGGCAAGGTTATGACATCCTATTAAATGACACACTCTAATTCTTCTGTGACCGGGGTCCGTGGTAGTGCGTGTAAAAAAAAGTAATGAAACTTTGAAAAAGTCTGACTCTGACCTGACTCAGAGTTTCAGTTTACGGCAAGGACTGGGGTCGTGTGGCGCAGCGGTAGCGCATTCGGCTCAGGACCTAGAGGTCCCGAGTTCGATCCCCACCCATGTCACCGATCTTGTGCCCTTGGGAAAGGCACTTTACACGACTTTCCTCACTTCACTCAGGTGTAAATGAGTACCTAGCTTCGGTTAGGGACGTCCCTCGGATAGGACGTTAAATGGAGGTCCCCTGTTTGGGAGAGCCACACCCCACGCACGCTAAAGAACCCGCCACACTTATCGAAAAGAGTAGGGGATCTTCCCGGTGTGAGTGGATCAAACATTACAGTCTTGTGTACGTCTTCTACGTACCGTGCTTGGAGTCCTCAGCCTATTGAGGTTAAGCACGTAATATGGAAGAAGAAGAAGAAGAAGAAGAAGGACAACAAGACTCAAGAGTTCACATTTCTCATATAATTGTTGCCAAAACATGCTGCGAAATGATATCAGATACAAACATAGCTGACAAGAAAGCTGTAAGAAGTGGACTCTATGTTCCGGGAGAAGGTTTAGGACATTTGCGTGTTGATTTCTTATGAAACTTGAAAGGTTTTGTTGTTGTTGTTGCCCCCCTCCCCCCACTTTTTTCGTCGTCGCCCCCCTCCCCCAATATTTTTGTCTATTTCGGGTTGGCGATCGAGTTTCTTTCAGAAAACTGAGCCAGTGACATTACAGTGTAAAGACAAACTTTTCAAGAACGCTAAGATAACACCAAAAACATAATACGTCGACACTTACCGCAAAGTTTGAAGAAAACTTGCATAAATCCCTAGCACAGTCGCTGTGTGCTCTCTCTCTTTCAAACTGCAGTACTACTCCATTCCGCCACGCGTCTCTCATAAACAGTATAGAATCTGCGAGCAAAGGCTACATATTCTTTCCCTTCAAGTGTTCAATGTAGTGTAAATGGGTTAGCTTCCAAGTTACTTTACCCCTACTTTTATATGAAAGAAATGGAACGTCTAAACTGTAAACCCAACAATGCTCAGTTCCAGAACAACTACGTTTTTCGAACATTCGAACCTGGTAACGGTTCGCCAAACATGTGCACAGTCTAGAAAACACTAACGTTCGAACCGGACGTCCTTTTTGTTGGCTCCTGATTTACCGAAGTTTTCTGGCCCATAACACCACACATCGCCGTTTAACCAGTTAACATGCGAGTTACGGGAGAGAAGATGCTGTACGCTGACCAGTGGGGGCAAGGTACGGCGAAATCGGTCAAAGATTTGACCAAACAGAGTCAGTCTCTTCACAAAGAAGAGCGAGAGAAGTGAAACACAGACAGGTTCTTCACCACTTCGTGTCAGATAACCCCGTATCTTCCAGATGTCATTATATAAGGCTGAAATTACGTCATGTTAGTGAACGATTTCTTGATATATCATGTTACCACACTGTCACGTGGGGCTTTTGGCCTTCCTACGGGGGTACGGATCATAGAAATTGGCCAAAAAAAGTGCACAAGAATCAGTGTCCAGCTCTAATCAAGTAGGCACATAAACTCAACGGTGGCTGAACTACCATTGTCAATCTAGCTCCCCTCCCCCCATCTATATATATATTTTACTGTTTTGAACCCACGTTTAGTCTACTGAAGGCTATGGAGATGCTTCTAAAAGTAGTTTACAAACACACCAAACTCACACTTACTCCCATTCGTGATCACCGGGAATTTTCTACGGCCTCCACTCTCTTACATAGCTGTGCCCACGTGTTTTGTTTGTTTTAGAAACAATTTATAAAGTTTAGATTGATTGCCCTGGTAGAAATCCATCCCTGCAAAATGTGTTGTTTGTCCCACAGTCTTTCTTCTTTCCTAGAACTGTGTAAATGTAACCGCTCTTTTGCCCAACAAGACACGAATTCAAACTTGTAGTTTCTAAAGTATTTCGTATAGATATCTGCATCACTATTTGTCCATCCCTAGATGTAAAAGCTGATTTTTTACTCTCAAGAATGTTAACCTAAGTAGTGTCATGTTAGAAACTCTAACGTGTGATATTTTCATGCTAGAATCAGACAGCTCTCTGTCACTGCCTAACGAACACATCGGCAGTCTCTACAACCAGGTACGTACTAGTAACTCCATGGTTTCAATGGTCTAGTCATCCCCCCGAGAGGAAAGAACACTGGCCCCAGTGTTAAAGTGTTGGACGTTTCAGAAAACAGGCCTTTCTGGTTATAGCCGGGAGTTAGTAACTGTATCTAGCCGTACTAACATTCACCGATGTGCGCAAATTATCTGGGCGGGCGTGGAACGCCTGCAGTACCGAAGACAATTCGAGAAGTTCTCGGTGGGATGGTTACCGGGCTAAGTTTTAACGGAACTCACCAAAACACATAAGGGCGCTCTTTTTTATACGTCTTGCTGTTTGAACTTATTTATACCGAATTACATACACCCGTAGAACCTCGTGAAGGCTAGTTCAGCACCAAGGAAAGGGACTGCCCTTACTACGTATATAAGATAGATCGGGTTGTGTACATTTACTTTGTTCGGATATGGTTCATACGATAGCCAGTGTTGTAATTTGTTGTCATTTGCAAATTTCACGCATAAACTTTGTATTGATCAAATATTTGGATGAAAATGCAGAACATTTAAGTCTACATTGTGTGTCACACTCACACACACACGCACGCACCCACGCACACCCCCCACCCACACACACAAACACTATATCACTCGCTCTCTATCTCTGCATAAATCTCACAAATTTGTGGAATGGACAAAATACTGCTCTGTTTATCCTCTTACCTCTAACACATTGTTATTCATAACCTGATACTGCTACTTTTTAATGTTGAATTTCTAAATCATGTCACTTCCTAAACAGTTCATTTCAATTGTTTTTTTTCTACATTTCTCAACACAGGAGAACCGAGCCGTACCGAATTCGGTCCCGTCAGTTATTCCAAACGCACACGGTGTGGTCCAGACGGACCGCCCGGCTGCTACTGGGGCAGGCCTCGGTGACGAGATGTGCTGCACGACACCCTGGGTGCGCCCCGTCTACGGTGACTGGGTCTGGAAGGTACGACCTTCAATCATCCAATCAATCATTCAATCAATCAATCAATCAATCAATCAATCAATCAATCAATCAATCAATCAATCAATCAATCAATCAATCAATCAATCAATCAATCAATCAATCAATCAATCAATCAATCAATCAATCAATCAAAAGCCTTTATTTATACTGGAAATGCCCTGTCGGCCTTAGCCGCTCATCCCAGAAGTTCCAG